TAAAAATGTTTTAATAAATAAATTATAACTGGTACAAAATTGGGCTGTTTGGTTGGTGACTGGCATTCCTAGAGAGTTTTGAAAGAATTACACTGGTTATCAGTTGTGGCCCAGGGCTAATTCAAGGTGCTTGTTTTAACATAAAGCCCGAAATCAGCTTGAGGCCCAGCCATCTCAAGGACCATCTATACCCATATATACCTACCAGTCCCTTAAGATCAGCTCAGGAGGCCCTTCTAAGAAAGGCATTCCTCAGAGAAATATGAGGGGTGGCAAATAGGCAAAGGGCCTTTTCTATTGCTGCCCCCCATCTCTGGAATGCCCTCCCTAGGGAAATTCACCTGGCACCATCTTTGTTTTCGTTTCGGTGCCAGGCAAAGACATACCTTTTAAAGATATTCTTCAATATCTAAGCCCTTTGTAAGTGCTGATGGACCTTTATTCGTTTTATTATACTGTACTATTTTTATGTCTTACGATGTTATTCTTTTAACTTTTTTATGCTGTTTTATTGTGTGAACTGCCTAGGGAGGCCTTTCTGGCAGTTATAGGTGGCATATAAATATATGAATGAATGGCTGCTTCATGTGATGCACATGGGGAAGACAGACCTCTCTTTTAGAAGCTAACAAGCGCCCCAGCTGAGCCACACCCTCCTTGTGCCTCTGCAAGTGTCGTCTGTACCAGCGCTGAATCGTCACAGCAGCCAGATTGACCTGGTTAATGAACCTAAAATGGCAGAAAGAGGTTCAGAAGTATTACTTGTCAATGGCTATATATACCAAAAAGTAGAACTTGCCATAAGACAGTCACAGTGAGAGACATCATGCTTGAAAAATGCCTCGGGCCTATTTGGCCCCTATGCTTAAAAAGAGATGTTGCTTTTTGGCTTCTAGAAAACTATGTTGTATACAATATGTAGGCATGATAACAGCCATTAACACTATTTTGCTGGAACTAAGATCATTCTATGGAAATCCACAAAATGCACACCTATCAAACCTGCTAAGGAGCAACATATTCATGCACATATTTTCTGAGCCATTTCCTCTCTTACTTCTGCATAACTTGCCTTCTCTTCCTCTTTCTCCCATCAGCTCCTCTATGCTTACCGCTCAGCCTCCTCTTCTGACACTTCTTGCCTCCTGAGGGGGTTAGTACCACTGCTGGTATTATTGTTCCGAGCCAGGATATTGCTGCTGGAAAAGTTCTTCTGGGACTTCATGTAGCTGCTGCCCTCTGTGTCTTCATTAGAAGTAGCTTTGATAATGTTGCTAAAGAAACAAGTGAACCGTATCCAGTCAGAAACATTCCTTGGATCGCTCCATGGATTTTCAGTGTGCCATGCGACCCAGTATAGGGGATGTGGTGGTGCAGTGGGTTAACCGCTGAGCCGTTCAGGCTGTCGATCAAAAGGTCAGCAGTTCAAGTCCACACAATGGGGTGATCTTCTGCTGCCTTGTCCCTAGCTTTTGCCTACCTGACACTTCAAAAGTATGCATGCGAGTAGATTAATAGGTACCTCTCCAGTGGGGAGGAAAGAGTGCCCCGTGACGTCATGCTGGCCACATGACCACAGGAATGTCTTCGGACAGCGCAGGCTCATGGTCATCGAAACAGAGATGAGTGCTGCCCCCTATAGCCACTTCCACTAGCAGAGTAAAATCTGCAGGGACTCCTTTTTTTATACTACCCAATGGACTCACGCCATGTACAGCAGAATACAATCAAGGACACTGCCCATTTTCCGGATTATTATTTCATGCTCCAGTTTCTCAGGGACACCGTCCTTGAGCCACTGCCTTGGAAAAGAAACCTGTTTTTGCTCAGTATGATAATCCATTCTCTTCCCTTAGTGAAAACAGCAGTTTGCAAGACGTGAGTCCCTTTTATATTAAATGGCACAGGCTGTTAAGTTGAAGGATATCAGATACAGAGAAGGATGGGGGCTACTGAATTCCCTCACAGAGCACCGTGTGGAATCAAGGACTCATGTATTCCCACCTGTACTGGTATTTGCACAAGTCAGAGAATGAGATCACAAATGTTTTTTGAAAAAAGATTTCAAAAAAAGAGAAAACTTGAATATTTTGCATACACTGGTGGACAGTCCTTTGACTCATGTCCAGACCAAGTCATAATGCTTATTAGACTCTGGACTAATATGAATAAAAGAACCCCTAAAATTAACTGCAGCTTTATTTTTATGGGGTTTTAATGCATGAGACAGTAGGTGATTACAAACAGTGTTCATGCATCCTCCTAACCTCTGCCTCCCTTCTTGAAAACCATATCTTCCCCACACCCACCAGACTTGAAATATCAGCCAAGTCGCCACGTTTATGCTTTCCAGCTCCTACCACCCTGTGGTGCCCCATGAAAGGAGAGCTGTGACAGGAACCTGAAAAGACTTACTTGAGGGAGGTGGTGGCTTGGTTGGAGCTCTTGGGTGCAGAAGCCTTCTCTGAAGTGGAGTAATCGTTATGCACCATGGTGGTGACACAGTTGCCCATGGCACCTTTGTTACTCCTCACAGGAGCAAAGGAAAACGAGTCAACGTTCTCTCATAATAGTTTATCCAATATGTTATTTAAATAGACATATCATACAAAGCCTTGTCAAATGGGCCAGCTCTTGCTTACTGAGTAGCCTCATTTCCAGAATCCACTGCCTAATGGACGCTGCTCTCCCAGATGCGGTAAATGAGGGATGCGCAACCTGAGGCCCTAGGGCTGCATGAAGCAGCCTAATTTCATACAGCCCATGACTCAATTTCCAAAGACTGATGCAAGCACACTTAAAACCTGGAGAAAGAGTGTTCTGTCCTTACCACAGCAGCTTTCTGGGTGGGGAGGAAGGAGGAGAGAGACAAAAGGGGTGGCCCTGCTAACCACTGGCAAAGAGCCTCTGAGATTTGCCTCCTGCTGCCTGAATGTGGCCTTCTATAGAAAAAAAGATTCCTCAATCATCCTCAGTTAATGTAGCAATGGTCCAGATACAAGTTCAGTTCAGCATCTTTCCAAAAAACCTCATCAGTTTGACTTCTACTACGTATCTAAAAATATCAAGAGCTAATACTGACTGCCAACACACTTTTCCTACCTGTTATTGGCAGTGAAGTTGGCTGCAAGTGGCACATATATTTCTTTCTTCTTCATGCCTGCATGGACCTCCCGAGTGCTAGCTGGCAAAGGTAATGTTCTAGGCTGCTCATCCTGCACAACATAAAGAGAAATAAGAAAGTCATTGTCACAGTATGTGACACATCTTCTCCAGATATCATAGTCTTCTCCAAGTTCTTTAATCTATGCCTTTATTCTACAGCAGGGCATGGAACCCTGCCTAATCCAGCCAACACAGAGGTTCCACAACTCCAAAAAGAATCCACTGTTCTAATTCCACTACAGAAAGGCAAAGTCAATATAGCAATGACAGTACTGGGTTTGGTTACATCTGCTGGCACCCTCCAGCCCAGAGGGTCCAACAGGGGGCAATTCCACCCCCCACCCAGGAAGAGTTCAGCACTCCCATTTAACCTTATGCGTAGAATCCCACTCAGTCCCATTCCAGTATCACTGGATTACTAGGGAAAACAAATGACCTGCATAACAGATGCTGACATTTATTAGAAACGAAGTCTGAGATGTGGCTGTATTAATGGTGCTTTCAAAGGGGTGTCAGAAATTTGCTAAACTGGATTGTCTCAGAATAGAACCAAAAGCACTTTCAAAACCAGGTGTGGGTGTCAGAGGCACAAATTCTGCACCCATAGATTATATAGAAACTTTATCAATTCCTGAGCAGATAGCTGCTAGATCAAATGCCAGGCAAGGGGATAACAAGATGCAAAAGTCATATAACACTTTCCTCCATCCTTTGGGCTTGTGCATCTTCCCCAGAAGCATATTTTATCTCTTCTTTCAGTTCAGCGCCAGAGACCTAAACAGGCTGTGCTGCAAGCTATGCATGCTAGCAGTATGAGAGTTTTCCAGATGATACCACAATCCCAAATTTTACTTGAGCACTTAGTGCCAGTAAGAAAGTATCCCATCTTCTTGTCATGAATGGAGATAGCAGTAGTCTTGTTGCAGCATAGAGCCTTTCTATTCTTTTTAAATTTTTACTTTAATTTTTAGAAGAAGAGTATATTCTTGTGTGGGAGGGCAATAAACAGTCGCCCAAGAAACCCACACAAACATATTCTTTATAAGACTCACTATTGCAGTTGGTATGACAGTTATGTGGGGGGGGGGGGGGAGGGGAGGGGAGGGGAGTTACATTTTCCTAAGAGCACATAGTCATCTGAATGTTGGAAAACGCAAGCTCTCCACAACAAATAGATAATGTGAAAGAAAGGGCTTCATATCCCTTGCAACAATTGAGCAACTGCCGTGCATTTATGCACAAAGAAGGTGTTTCTCAAGAAAGGCCCCAAATGCCTGCACAGAGGAGGCTAAATGAATTCATCTGAGGATGGATTCTACTGCACTGAAGGTGCTCTTGTACTTGCACTTCTTCGTATGACCTTGCTCTTACTAGTATATTCCACGTGGTGGTCTTCTCTGGGGAAACTTTGCTCAGACTTGCTAGTTTTTTTCTCCCACCTGAGCTGCTATCAAACAACGTCAGGAAGTCTCCATGCTGCTCTGCACTGATGAGAAGCAAAACAAGGGGATTAATCAGGAGTCCTCCAGGAATGTGCAACAGTATTGCTTCATCCATTTCCAAAAGACATTCACTCAGCCTACTATGCAATGTGGGAACTTATTCACCACTATATAAATTAACCCTGCTTTTTGATCCATCTTATGGAAGCCTTCAGAAAGGGGGGGAAAAAACAACCAACTTTCCCCAGAGAACTCAGAAAGACAAGCACAAGTGAATCAGCCTCTGAGAAGTCCTATGCATGTGTCCTGCTTTTTCATGAACACATTTAAGGCTCACCTGAAGGCACCATTCACCTGTTGGTTAACTTGAGTTGTGCTATTGGATCTTCGCAAGTTGTTCATAGCTCTGGTAGTGCCAAATCCTGCATCTTCCTGGGACAAAGCAAAATGTAGATGGTTAGCTACCATCTGGATGCCCTTGAAGCAGAAGACTCCTGTTACACTAATACCAAATCACTCTGTTTGCACCCATCCTAAGAGAAAACTACATCTACCACCTACAGATGGTAGGACAACTCTGCCTTGAAAGGAAGATTAAGGGGCACATTAGGTGGTGTTACTTGTTATCTTGTCTTTTTTTAAATGCACATTTGTAATAAAAATTAACTAGCACAGGCAACAAAAAAAAAAGGATATAACAAAGCTTATATATGGAAAGAACTACCCTATGGTTTTTGGGAGAGTTTCCCAGGAATCATAGGATTGCTAGCATGGGGGAAGGGTCAGAGATCTAGCACCAGGTCCATCCTCCTTCCTCACAGCCAGCATGGAAAGAACCATGTTGGCAGCCGCTCCAAGGTCAGAAACTTGCCCATGCAGAGGGATGGAAAGGGGGTATTCCAATGGGCTTGGATGGGAGGAGACCAGAGAAGCCATATGGAATATCCTTGAAACCTCTCCAGCTTTCTCCTCCCCTCCCCCAGAGTACCTTTGCAAAATAGGCAAAAAATGCCCACCCTATGAAATCTGCAGGATGGGAAGACACGGAGGCAAATACCTCTACCACCCCTCCTATCCTGTGCTTGATGATGGGAAGTCTCCAGGACAATATAGTCCATATCTACCTTAGCTATTATTTATTGTTTTCATAATGAATGCCACAATTCATTGTACATATTTAAAAACCCCTTGAAATACACTATTAGACTGAATCCTCTTTTTTTGCCTGAATATTATATCTTATCTTTAGAGCCATCTTGCCCATTTTAATATAAAGGTTGTGGGAAAAGTTTGGTGGAAAACTAAGAGGTCAGCAAAAAGGTTATTTAGTTCTTGTGTCTCCTTGAGTAGAATTATTGCTCCAAAGACTAAGCTAGAATTTACAGTTCTGTCTTTTCTTCCTTAGTAGTTATTTTTATATTATTTTCTTGTGCACAGCAGAGAAGTTTGATAATATCACACAACTTTCTCATGGAGAACCAAATAACTGCAACACACTATATACATATATGTAGTAGAACTCTGTGGGATGCGGTGGCACAGTGGGTCAAACCACTGTGCTGCTGGGCTGGCTGATCGAAAGGTTGACAGTTCGAATCTGCACACGGGGTGAGCTCCTGCGCTTTGTCCCAGCTCCTGCCAACCTTGCAGTTTGAAAGCATATAGATGCAAGTAGATAAAAAGGTACCACTTTGGTGGGAAGGTAACAGTGTTCCATGCACTTTGGTGTTTAGTCATGCTGGCCACATGACCACAGAAACTGTGGTCAAATGCTGGCTCCCTCGGCTAGGAAACGGAGATGAGTACCGCTGCCTAGAGTCAGGCATGACTGGACTTTAATGTCCTGGGGAAACCTTTACCTTTAGTAGAACTCTATTCCATCTTCACACAACCCACAGATTCATGGCCTGCCTGAAGGAATCTTGTCACATCTTTATGATCCAATGTAAAGCCCCCATGTTCCTTCAACAGCAAAGTAAATGTGAACAAGAAGCCCTCTATAGAGGGATAGTTAGCCATTCTTAAGTTTGAAAAACACTTGAGTGATAAACACTTGAGCCTTTTGGGCTACTCTTGTAGCAGACTGTATTCAACAAAGAACGATAAACACAGCACAATAAGCCAAACTGAAGGTCGTGGTTAAACATAACAAATTTACCAAGAATACACTGAGAAAACAACCTTGGGCTTTAAGGGAAAGAAATACCCCAATACTTACTAGGATATTCCTCTTGGGTTTGTTTTCAGTAATGACAGAGATGGAGCGAGCAATGTGTTTGCCTGGAGAAGCACTGCTAGGGCGCTGAAGCACCTGCATGGGCAGCCCTGTAAGGCTGAGATCCACACCACTGGCACTAGCACCCTGGAAGGAAGTTCTGCTGCCACGGGCACTCTTCATCGTGAACTGGGGGAGGACAGAAGCCCTGGAAACAAAGTGAAGCAGAAAAGGAATCGCATCGTGAGCACTACGGCCCGTGACACTAGTTTCTTTGAATATGTATCAGTAGAGATTCAACATAGTATTCTGGACAGTGGTGAAGACCGTGTATCAGTTGCCTACATGACAATGTTAACCATGGCTGATGAGAACTGCAGTTCAATAACATCTGGAGGGCCACACATTCCTCACCCTTTCTCAAGGGCCTCTATCAGACCCATGAGTATCCTAGCTTACTTTTAAAAAATGTAGTCCTCAGGGTCACAAAAATATAAGGATGAGAAATGGAAGCTCATGACTGAAGTCTGAGAGCGTAAGAATCCTCCAATGAATTTTCATAGTACTACACAACTGTTGTTCAAGAACTCCAGGCCCTCTTTACCCCCTGCCTGCTGCTCAACACTACTCCCATTATTTTAATCCCTCTCTCTTATTCTCCTTCGTTTATTCTGCATTTAATCAAAAATTCCCTACCTGCATGTGGTGATGCTACCTCAAAGATGCCTATGTTCTGCTAATGTTGATTAGAGTTTATTTTCAGGAAATCAAATGCAATTATTTTTAACAAATCAAATTAATTTTCCATGTTGATATTTTTATTTCGTTGTCCTTGTCGTGGAGCAATGATTTTATATCTGCAGTAAATGGAGGGTCCTGAATTTGCTGATGCTGAGTAAATCGGGTAAGACATCTATGTCATATAGATGGAAAATGTGGAAAACAGAGCAAGATGTTTAGAGTTCCCTGTTTTAAATGACTGGAGGTGGTGACAAGCTGGTAGCTAAAGTTGGGCAAATTCCATTTAAAAAGATTTAGGTTTTAAAAAAATCAATCTAGCATTTTTTAAACTTTTACAAGTTGGTTACATAGCGCTTATAGACTTTCAGAAAAGGATATGATTCAAGGGACTACAATGTCACACTTAAAACAATGCACACTTCTACAATGAAAGCCAGATTTTATTCATAAAAAGAGCATTTACACCTAAACTTTCTGCCCACATAGTGCCCCCAGAAATGCACAGTACCTAATTCTACCATTTACAGGTTTCCACCCTCTAATCTTCTAGTACATTCAGCTATTCTGGAGAATATTTCATTTTCCAAATTGCTTTATGTTTCCACTTCTGTTTAGAGCATGGGTCCTCAAACTACGGCCCGGGGGCCGGATCTGGCCCACCATGCCCATTTGGACCCACTGTGCACGCGCCCATTGCCCAGACATGCACCCACCTGCCACCACCCACCTCGCCCCACATGTGGGGAGGCAGCGGTTTGCTCGCTCGGAGAAAATGATTTCCAAGCGAGCAAGCTGCTGCCTTGTTACAGGTTTCCACCCTCTAATCTTCTAGTACATTCAGCTATTCTGGAGAATATTTCATTTTCCAAATTGCTTTATGTTTCCACTTCTGTTTAGAGCATGGGTCCTCAAACTACGGCCCGGGGGCCGGATCTGGCCCACCATGCCCATTTGGACCCACTGTGCACGCGCCCATTGCCCAGACATGCACCCACCTGCCACCACCCACCTCGCCCCACATGTGGGGAGGCAGCGGTTTGCTCGCTCGGAGAAAATGATTTCCAAGCGAGCAAGCTGCTGCCTTGTGCGCCTGCCTCACGGCGCGTGCCCACCCCTGCCCGCACCTCGCGCCCCACCTGAGTGCACATGCCCTCATGCACCAACCCTGCCCCCCCCGCCGGCCCGTGTGCCCCGCCAGCACCACCTTTCCAGCCCCTGCCCAGCACTGGCACCTTTCAACTGGCCCCCTGGTGAAAAAGTTTGAGGACCCCTGGTTTAGAGGCTAGTCATTCTTCATCTGTTAGAACACAAACTGCTCATCCACACACCTACTCCCCTATAAGCACTCACAATTACATGTGTGTGGGCCCAGAAAAGATAAACAAGGGACTTTCTATGGAAACAATAGATGCTAAGTCCAGCAATACAGGTGAGACCATCAACTAGACAGTGCATAGCTATTTCATCATACTGAGAATCATATGGTTAGGATTCAAGAGAACAGTTAGGATAGAATGAAAATGGTAAAGCTAAAGATTTGGTCTGCATGGGATGAAGGTCCCTTCATCACACCAGGAAAACGAAAAGACACATATAACACTTCTTTGCATAGTTTAAGAAGCATGTCAGGCCTCTATCATTTAATAATGAATAATCACACTGCTATAACTACTACCACTTTCTTTTAACTTTTGGTACCCCCATTGCTGAATCATTGAACCTTTGACTCAAAGGTGAGGCTTCCATCATGGTGAAGTTCACTTGTAGGCCTTTATGCCATCATGTATAAACCCTTCCTTTTTGATATATAGCATTACCATGGGAAAGGAGGTTTAGATACATGGTTGCTAGCAAACCAGTCAGCCCTTGTACAATTCTGAAGGAATGCAGTCTTTTAAGAGTCTAATGTGTGAATTTAACATGTACTCTGAGAAAAGACTTATTTGCATTGATCAAATTATTTCTGAAATTTCTCAATGCATGAAACATATGAACTATATAAAAAATGACAACCACTTGGTTAAGTCGCTAACTTCATAAAATTTGAAAATTAAGTTTCATTTAATGTATATTTATGTATGTCTTCAAAGGTAAACACACCTCTTCTCTGAACATTAAGCATGAGTACCACTTGCCACCAAACTACTATCATGACTAGTAAGTCAATTTCAAGGGACTCCAAACAGTGGTCAGTTAGTTTTCAGGGATCACATGCAGTTTATAACAAAGCATTAATACAATGTTGCCCCTTCATGGATCACTGCCTTGTCGTGGCAAAGGGGCTCGTGTAGCGCAATGCAGCTATGAGCTATGCCATGCAGGGACCCAAGACGGTCAGGTCATAGCAGAGAGCTCTGACAAAAGGTGATCCACTGGAGAAGGAAATGGCAACCCACTCCAGTATCCTTGCCATGAAAACCCCATGGACAGAAGCCTAGAGATAAAAGATATGACACCAGAAGATTAGCCCCCTCAGGTCGGAAGGTGTCAGTGTGCTACTGGGGAAGAGAAGAGGGCTAGTACTAGTAGCACCAGAAAGAAATGAAGCAACTGGGTCAAAGCCGAAAGGACACTCAGTTGTGGATGTATCCGGTGGTGAAAGGAAAGTCTGATGCTATAAAGGTCTATACTCCATAGGAACCTGGAATGTAAGATTTATGAACCAAGGTAACCTGGATGTGGTCAAACATGAGATGACAAGACTGAACACTGACATCTTGGGAACTAAAATGGACAGGAATGGGTGAATTTATTGCAGATGACTATCAGGTATACTACTGCAGACAAGAATCCCTCAGAAGAAATGGAGTAGCATTCATAGTCAATAAAAGAGTAGGAAAAGCAGTACTGGGATACAATCTCCAAAATGACAGAATGATCTCAGTTTGAATCCAAGGCAAACCAGGCAACATCAAAGTAGTCCAAGTCTATGCTCCAACCATGGATGCTGAAGGCGCCAGCTTGCTCTCAAGGAGATCCTTTTCTCCGAGTGAGTCCAAAACAATCTCCTTGTGAGGTGGATAGATGGACTCACTGAAGCAGTCAGTGTGAGCTTAAGTGGACTCTGGGGGATGGTGGAGGACAGGAAGGCCTGGAGGAGTGTTGTCCATGGGGTCACGAAGGGTCAGATGTGACTTTGCTAAACAACAACAATGCAGTGGTAACACCTATTTCTGCATGTCATCTCTTTTAATTTGAAAACATGCTATTTCTACTCCTTGAAAGCAAGTGTAAAACAAGGGAGGAACACAAAGGTTTTGAAAACTGAACAGCTACAGAATTATTTTCCACAAAGCAGTGCAAGAGTCTTCAAAAAGGGCAACATTTCTAACAAAAGAAAGTGTGAGCCATGCACACTACACAGCTTCAGAACTACCAAGTGCCACAGTGCATCAGGTTGTATAGAATCGAAGTCAAACTAAAATCCCATTCAATAGGTCTACTTTAAGTAGGACAAAGATTTCATACAATCCATCATACTTAGCATGGAGCTTCATATCCCTTATTAAAACGCCCATGAAGACCCTGCAGCAATTTCATCATAGCAAGCTGGTATAAGGTACCAGAGAACAAGTCAGAAAGCCATGAGAGCAACTTTTACTTTTTCCAACTTCCCAAAATAATGAAAAAGGGCAGGGAGAGGAACCATTGTTTATTTCATCAGAGTACCACAGCAAGGCATTCTAAAATAAAAATCAGTCCATCACACACCTCCGTATCAAAGCAACCAGCAATTTTCTAGTGGCAAAAAGCCAGCCAGCAGTTTGGGACTTCTAAGAACCAACCTTATGAGAAGGTGTTGCAAAGCCCGAACTGGTATATGCTGCCAACCTGCTCAATTGGGACTTTACAAATCAACACAAACATACAGCAGCCTGAACAGCAGCAGCAGCAGCCGGGGGCGGAAGCGGCAGCCTGGTGGTTCCCTCTTTATCACAGATATAGGGAAATGTGGGGAAACCCTTTGTCCTCCGAGCTACCCGCCCCCACCACTTACCTCAGACAGATGCCCAAAGTAGGAAGCTCTCTTCTTCCCTGCCCGCTCCCCAGCGTTCAGATGGGGCCCTTTTCTAAAGCTGAGGCCTCACCGGGGGGTGGGGGCTTTTCCCACCCCCTGCCCCACGTCCAAGAAAGGGCCTCAAAGACGCCCGCTCAGCACGGCTGCCGCCACTTGCGACCCTCGTTTTATTCTGCAGGGACCGAGCCCCGTGTGGGGGCCATCCCGCCTCCGGCTGCCCACTCCCCCACTCGCGCCAAATGCACGCCGGGAAATTCCCGCCTCCCTCCTTCCCCCTCCCCGCCGGTGCGGGGGGCTGCCGCATCCGCGCCTCCCAGCCACGGCCAAGCGGGCAAAAGGTGCTGCCGCGGCGCGTTAGCAACCAGCCGAAACCACACGCTAACCTAGTGCGGGGCAGCAGGGGCCCGCCTCCCTTTTGCCACGTGATTGGCCAGGGCTGGGAGAACGCAGCTCCTTACCGGCTAATCCCGTTGTCCTTCTATCGGCGGGGCTAGGTTGACAGCGCAAGGCTGAGGGAGCCTAAAGGCGTCCGCGGAGGAGGAGCCTGCCTGCGGCAAAGGCCGGCTCCGATGCCCGCGCGCCCCGCCGAGGGTCCTTCCCGCCGGCGCTGCGTCCCGCCGCTTCCCAGAGCCAGGGGTCTGCCCCGGGCAGAGGAATGATGCCACCTCTCCAAGCCTGTGCTTCTGCCGGCGGCCACTGCTGCGGCCGCCTCTTTGTTCGGCCGCCTTTGCTACAGCGAAGGGCGCGTTCCGGTTCTTCTCGCCTTGATCGAGCTAAGCCTTCTGCAAGTTGGTGCCTGCCAGAGGCGCTGGACTACAGTGCCAGTCCGGCACCTCTGAAGGGCACCAAGCTGGGCTAGAGAGGACGCCCCACTCCCGTCATGGCTTGCTCGTACCTTGTTAGCCTTGTGGAAATGATAATGAACAGCTATGATGCAAGTGAAGAACCAACCACAGGTGAAACGGAGGAAGGCGGTCCATGCAGGTGACATCTATCTCCCTCCCGCCACTTTGGGAGCTCAGGACAATTTCCCTCCCCCGCTCAGTATCACTACGTAGGATTGGGAAGGAGCGTCGTCCCCACTTGGCTGAGGCCGTTCCTTTTTTGATTGCTGCATGGCTTGATAGTGCTTGGTGGACAGCTCAGCTGGGAGGTGACTGAGGCAAAGGACAAGAAGTGATCCAAAAGGCCATAGAAATGAACTGGAGGCACAAATAGCAATGGACATGAGTGGCTCTGCTGAAAACAATACATGCCAGAAATGGCATTTGTCTTCAGAAATATGCAGCTTCTTTGCCATGTAGATCCCCAGGCAAGCACAGAACTGTTGCACCTGTGCTGGAGACAAAAGCTGTGAGGTATGTTTGCAGTAACCCAGTTACACAGTAACTAGTCATGCTTTATCTACCAGCCAGGAATCCCTTGTGACTGCAACTAGCATATCCACAGATTTTCTATTCAGGAACACGCCAGAAAATACTTATAGGAAAGGCTACTCAGAGAGAGAGAGAGTTGCAGAGGAGTAAGTTGTGATAGTGCTCTAATTCAAGCATATAAACAGAAAGGTGAAAGTCTGAATACACAAAAATCAGAACTTTATGTAGCATTCAGGGATAGAGGGATGCTTTAATTGGGATTCCTGCACTGAGCAAGGGGTAGGACTTGCTGACCTTCTTGACCACTTCCAACTCTACTATTCTATGATTCTACAATATGGATAACTTTTCCTAGCTTTGTCGTAGCCTATTTCTCATGAAGTTGAGAAACCTGAGTTTGGGCTATACAACTTTATACCTCAGGCAAGGAGCAGATTCAGTTAAAAGCTTTTCTATACAAAGCAGTCCCTACCTTTAAACTGTGATCCTATGCATTTCTACTTGGAAACAAGGCTACTGGTTTTCAGTAGGACTTACTCCCAGGTACTTAGGTACAGGATCAAAGCAGTCCAATCCAGATATTGGACTACAACTCCCATCATATCACCAACTGTGCTAAGATGATTGAAGTTGCACTCCAACATCATCTGGATGTGCACATATTCCTCCTTATCACCTCTAGCTTAAAAAAACCTGTTTTTCTCTGTATTGCCTATGCCCCTGCAACTTCTGTATACAATGTGCATTCAGATCTATTGAACAGCAAAAAGGGGGCAAACTGACATGTTTAACTGGTGGCCTGTAAAGCTGCTTAACTCTGTGGCTAAAAAAAAATATGGCAAGCTTGTGTGAGTTCTCAAAACAAGCGGGAATATGAAGGAATTCACCCCATCCAAGGACAGGGCACTGATTATATTCATTCAGTAGAAACTAGTACTGTGCTCTTAGTTGCAATCTGGGGGCCATTCCTTGTGTTATACAGAATTGTATCCCCAATCCTATGCAGAGTTACATGTGCCCAAGTCTCCTGATTTTAATGGACTTCAGAGCATCTAAGAACATAGGATTAGGCTGTTATGGTGGTTTTTATAAGACTACATGCTTGCTCTCTGTCTCTCTCTCTCTCGCACACACACATGTCAAGGGAAGGAGCAGCTGTGACAGGCAGGGATAGTTAGAGAAGGCTTAAGAGCAAAAGAGTAAAAACAAGATAAACATCAAAATGGGCATCATATTGCACAGTCAGCAGAGACATAGACAAAAGACTGGATCCAAGTGGAATGAATAGACCCAAATCATCAGAGTCACTGCTAGATGAAGTTGAGCAGAGGGAATATTAAGGCTGCAATGTGATACACACTTATTTGGAAAAAAGCCCAACTGAACTCAGTGGGGTTTACTTCTGAGTAAACATGGATAGGATCAGGTTGCTGCTTGTCTGTTTCATGATTGCCTCAGGGCAGCGGAACTAAGGGTCCTGATTGAACCAGGAAATAATAAGTATCAGTTACATATCCGTTTCCCAGCAGAATGAGCAAATACAGCAAAGCACAATTAATAACAGGGCAGCACCTTGAAAGCAAGGCAGATTCTATCTAAGCAGTTCCACTTCAGCCTGGTTGTGAAAGGGGTGTTATTTCTAGAAAGGATTCTGTCCTCTCAGAGGAAGAAGAAGCATGGTCTTTAAGAGCACACAGCTCCAGCATCAAAGGTAAAGAGAAACGAATCCTCATCAGAGGGAGAACAAGGGGGCCTTTACTGTTTCTCATATGAATTCAGACTTGCCTGGCATGCTCAAGCAGTTACTTCTGGCTGGAAATAACCATCCTCTCCTGAGCTCTTAAGACAGAGAGAAGAACCTTGCCAAAACAATTCCAGTCTTGCATGAGCCACAGCTTAGATGTGATCCAGTCATCCACCTAGTTCAGCATCTTGCCTGTGACACAGTGGCCAGATCTAGACAAGATTTATTATGAGTACTTTAATGATAGCTTTGATTGACTGATTGGGTAGGTAACTAGCCAAAGGTAGCAAAGCAATCCTCCACTCCACACTCAAGCCAGTACATTGAACAAAGAGGAAAGGGGGGGGGGGGCTAAACAGAGGAGAAAGAAACTAGGCAGCTGGTACCAGGGGTAACAAGTTACTGGGTAAAGTTACTGCCCAAAAAGATACAAAAACTTCTGTGCTCTAGAAATGAAGATCTTATTAGCATCCTTGTTTTAAGATGATTTCTCCTTTTGCAGAAAGGAGCAAGTCATGAACCCACCATGGGAGAGATTCAAGACTTTATATTGTAAAATGGTTCTTAGCCACTAAAAGAGCTCTGTGGATCTGGAGCAAGTTATCTTGTTTTCAATGAATACGTTCAGGAAGCAGACAAAGAATCATCGTGTGCGTAGTATGCCAAGTATAGTGTACAATAGAGTGCAGACGTGGAACTTCTCTGAACAGCCATTTTGCATTTACTTCCATGGTGACTCCACAGTTAGTGCCTTTGTTATCAATCAGTCACTGTTTCTCAAATAGTTGAGACAGCTATTAGGAAATGTCCATCACTCAGCAGACAAGACCGTCACAACACAGCCATTTCTCTTGTGGGAAGGGCAGCTGCATTCATGTTTTGGTTGCCCATTAGAAGGGGCCTGTAGTCAGCAGCCGCATCACCTCTACATCACCCATTGTAATTCCTTATCGGTATTTTGATTGCGGTTCCTCTGATGGGCTCTAGAGGAACCTTCCAAAGCTGTCCACCTCCAGATGTGATGGACCACAAACTCCAGTTAATGTAGCCATCTGGACAGCACAAAATTGGGGAAAGCTGCTCTAACCTGAGTGCAATGACTTGAGCATCTTAGCTACTAGCAGTAGTTCACTTATGTTCTATATATTTGTCTGAACAATATTTATGATTAATAATAATGGTGGTAGAGTGTCATTTGGGAAGGATTTAATTTGCGCAGGGCTCAGCAGAGCAGTCCTAACATTAGCTTTTAGTATCAAAGCTCAGTCCTGGAACTTAAGAAGAAACAATATCTGTGAGAGCACAGAGGGTATTCCCGTCACCACTGACTAATGACAGAAAATTTTCCTCATAGAACAGGGAATCAGATAATAGATAGGCACAATTTGTCTCATGGTACATCATTGCCTTAGTGAAGAGCAGAAAGGAGCATATAGTATTTCTTGGACAAAATATGCATGCAGGAGTCCTCCACCTTGAAGACAAACACTGAATACAGAACTTCAAGGGTGCAAAATGTGAATTTACAGTGGAGCAGTTGCTGTTATGTGCTGTCAAGCTGCCCCTGACTTATGAATGGGAGCCCCCCAAAATGTCCTGCACTTGACAGCCAGCTCAGCTCTTGTGAACTCAAGGCTGTGGCTCCCTTTATGGAGTCAATCCATCTTATTGTTGGCCTTCCTCCTCTTCTTCTGTCTTCGATTTACCCTAACATGATGGTCTGCTCCAGTGAGTCTTACTTTCTCATAATGTGCCTAAAGTAGGACAGCCTCAGTTTCACCATTTCTGCTTTCCAGGCAAAGCTCTGGCTTGATATAATCTAAGACCCACTCACTTGTTTTTCTGTCAGTCCAGGGTATTTGCAAAGCTCTCTTCTAGCACCATGTTTTGAATGCATCAGTTTTCTTCCTGGCAGCTTTCTTCACTGTCCGGTTTTCACACCCACACACGGTGATCAGGAACACTGCAGTTTGGATGATCTTGGCCTTGATCTCCAATGAAACTTTGTTACACTTGATCTTTTCCAGTTCCTTCATTGCTGCCCAGCATTATTTGTTGGTTTTTTAGCATTCCTACTTTTCAACTTTCCTTTTGATTTCTTGGATCTTCTGGAAGAGGTCCCTTGTTTCTCTCTTTTGTTGTTCTTCTCTATTTCTTTGCACTAGCTATTGTAATAGTTCTTTTTGTCTCTGTATGATACTCACTGGAAAGTTGTATTCAGGATTCTGACGCTATTCCTATCACCCTTTGCTTCTCACCTGTCCTTAAGAACTGTGTTTCTTCTGTCATCCATTCAAGTTTTTGTTGTTGTTGTTGTTCACTACAGGAATTGTCTTTTGGTATTCTTCCCTAATAATGGCTCTGGTTTTAGCCCACCATTCTTTTGGTTCATGGTCAGTTTAGCTCAGTCATGCAAATCTATTCTTTATATGGACTTTAAATTCCTTAGGAATGTTATTTAAGTGTATTTTGGCAGTTTGCTTCTGTTAGAGATCTTTTTCAGTTCTACTCTGATTTTTGATATTAATAGTCACTACCACAGTCTACTCTTGATATTTTTTGGCAGTGAGAATGCAGATTCTCCATCTCCTGATTCCAATTACATAGTCCATTTGTTTTCTGTGTTGCTCATTTTGTGATATTCTTGTGTATAGTCATCTGCTCAGTTCCCTGAAATGTGCAATACACAGATTTTTGGCTTTACAGAATTCTCTAAGTTCTTCTCCTGCTTCACTTCTGATCTCTAGACCAAAATTTCTCACAAAAGTGGATTCTGCTTTGTTTCCTACTTTTGTGGTCCAGTTACCTATGATTATCAGCAGTCTTGTTTGGGAGTGTTAGCAGTTTTTTTCTTGGACACTTGGATAAAAGTTCTCAATTTCATCTTCAGCATCTGTTGTTACAGTGTAGACTTGAATGATGGTTATGTAGACCAGTTTTCTGAGAATCCTGACATATATTATTTAATCAGACATTGCATTATAACCCTTCACTGCCTGTGTAAACCTTGCCTCAACAGGGAGCCACTTCATTTCTTCTAAGTTGCCGTTTCCAGAGTAGGACACATAGTGCTTGTCTGACTGAAGATCTCCCATTCCAGTCCACTGTAGTTCACTCTCGCCTAGCACTGCAATGATTTATCATCTCATTTCTTCTTTTCCAGTTTCCAGTTTGCCTTGATTCATACTTCTCACATTCCTTGTTCCAAGGGTATGCATTGCACAGTATTGGACTTTCCTTTCACCTCTGTGCTTGTCTTCCTTTTGGCTTTAATCTAGTTGCATCATTAGCAACAGTGCTATTCATGCCTGTCCTTCACTCTCCTTCAGTAGTTAAACTATCTCTTGTTTCAGGTTGGACTGTTTCATCATATGATTTTCAAGGCAGGATGATTCGGAAGTGTTTACCATTGCCCTCTCCTGCACAGTGCTAGCCAAAGTGAGCTTGAGCGTCACTGCCATTGCCCATGAAAGACCCTCTGCCAGTATCACCTTCACCTCCTGCTGCCGCCCAGTAGCTGCCCTTCAGGAGTTTCTCCGCCCTGTCGCCATTATGGATACTCATTCAAGGACTGTGTATGAACTGAAATGCTCTGACAAGTAGGCCATAGTCCACGAACATTGATCCCAGAATAAGTTGGTTAATCATTACAGTATGAGGAGTTTCTTTGTTGTTTATGGGGTGCAGGGCATGGGGGATTTGGGGGAAAGAGGGGACTCTACTGCAAGAGTTAATTGTTTCAAGCTGCAGAGTGATCAGAAGTTCAGCAAGCTTCCTGAGCACATAGTAGGGTGGGATGGAGGCTTCTGCAAATAAATCCAGACACACGTTTTAGAATGACAGTAGATATTGCCTAGGACAATTCCCTCTGCATTAGCTTCACTTCCTTGCTTCACTTCACTTCCTTCCTTGTAGAAACAAATAACTGGTATTTGGTAGTGCCCTTAAAGGCCTTCCCATTTTTTAACATTCAGAATTCCAAGGAGAAAAAAATTACTGGGAAAGGCGAGACACGATCTGAATAATACAATCTACATAAAGATTAAAACAAGTAGAAGTAGAAGAGTAAAGAGAATATATCTATCACTTCTATAGGAACCAACTCTATTGTGTGCAATGATGCAAATTTTCTGGAAAAAGTAGCACTGGGAATTTTCCAGAACGATGTCCAGTGCTCCAAACAATTGATTCCACCATACTTTGTGGTAGCTTCCTGTACATGTCTTATATTTTTTCAAGTCCATTTCTAAATGTTATTACATCCTTATTGATTCTTGTCATCAACATACCCGGGCTCACAGTATTACCTCCTTCCGTGTTTTTACGCTAGTGATACCACATACTAGTCTTCCTGTGTTTTGGCATTAATGTCTTAGCTCAAAGTAAACACAAGCACTATATAACTAACAAATCTTATGAAGACACTTCTAACTTCCTGAGCTCAAGAAAAGAAATGAGGCACTAAGGAAACTGAAACAAACAGATTTTACCATCTTAGTTTCAGTTTTCCTTTAGTTTGTTATTAAAGAATGTTAGCAATAGATGGCAACGACAGTATGTATGAGTCTGGTCCAGACCCAGCCTGGAGCCAACTGGATTGTGCAAAAGAAGGGGTTGTCACACCTTATTTTTCAGTTCCTGCATGGACAGCTGAGTCCTAGCGTTTCTCAAATCTTGCCTTAGGATATGAACGTCTATAAGTTATTCTCTTATCTTTAGTCCATCTAGCATGATTGGCAGTGGTACAACAGCTCGGGCAATTATGGATAAAGACAGGCAAGTGTAGTGTGGAAAATTTTTCACAGAACGATACAGCATAGGAGAATTTTCAACCCTACATCACAGATGGCGTGTCTAACAAAACAGAGTATAGGTTTACTGTATTGTGCTGTTATCAAAAAGAAACAGTTCTAATAATCAGATTGAAAGGAAGCATTGAAGGTTCAAGCCTTCTCTTGCATGCTTGTGGATAGCCCAACAGGAAGAAAAGTGAAGTAAAGGATTTCACACCTGCCTTTTCAGGACTGAATGAGAATGTTAACAAAAAAAGAGAGCAGACAAGCCACTGAGATGGAGGCAGGCACTTAACATGTAGGAAGCAAACCCCGGCCCACATGGAGACAGCTGCAAGTACACCAATTTGCTCCTAGTTGAGTTGTTCCACAGGTGCAGCTGCAGCATCAAGCGGCTATGAATTGAGGAAGGGGAAAGCAGACACCTCCTGGTTGTCCTTCTCGTCCCTGGTGCTCCCAGTGCTGGACAGTGTCTGTGGAGCAGGAGAAACACATTCCTGCACTGTAGCAGCCACTGTCAAAGCCATGCTTGTGTTTGCTACCAGCTCCATGCCTGCAAACAGAGACACTGTACCGTCCGGGTCACCCCTTGGAGGCCTGTCCTCTGAGTGTGTGGCATCTGAGAGCTGGTACTGGGCCTGCTGCTGGCTGAGGCCGGGCGGTAGGCTAGTGAGTGGACCACGGAACACCGATTCCAGTGTGGACTCTTTTAACAGGCACCTATCGCTTGTGGGAGTCTTCGGTGCTGCAGAGGGCTGTGGTGTTAGGTTCATGGGTTTTAGGACGCTGTCTCCAGCGAAGGGTGCCATATGCATCAGCAGGTCATCAGCATGCCTGGAAGGAGCCTTGCCAGAGACACAGCGGGTGGTGACTGGAGACGAGTTCTTGGAAGTGGGGTGGCTCCTGCAGAGTGCTTCAAACTGACGCAAGATCTGTTGCGGGGGAGGGCAGAAAGGGAGAAAAGAGTTCGGCAGTTCTGAGAACCAGCGTGGTGGCAGCAGGGAAAGGAAGGCTCCAACCATAGAAGCAGCTGACAGCAGGCTGAGGACTAATGCAGTCACCAACTCAGAGTACTGTGAAGCCACCGCCAGCCCCTTCATGGCACCCGTTTTCACTCCCAGCGCCTGCCCACCTTATGTCCTATGCATGCATCTAGTTCTTCCTTGGAAAGTTGAGAGGGATTAACAGGAAATGAGCAGCAGTCTCCTGCCCAGGCACTAAGTGAGCCCATGCCTGACAAATTTCAGCAATGCTATAGCCTTCAGCGATCTCAGACAACTCACTTTGGGCAAGCACTGCCACTCCCATCACAGTCTATCAAATGCCCTGAACTCAGGTCGCCTCTAGGAGTTGGTATATCATACATGGAAGATTTTCATCTCTGTTACAACCAGGATGCACACAGAGTAAACACGCTCCTTCAGAAAAAGGAGGAAGTATCCCAGAGTACAGAAGATGAAGGCAGAAAGGAGATGCTCCATGTTGAACAGAACAGAGCAAGTATCGTGGTTCCAAAAAAAAATGATACTCAGAGTCATGCAGTGTAGGCCTGTTCACACGATTCTGCCCAGTATTCAGAGAGAACGCAGGCCTAGTAGCATAACAATGAAGACTGTGGTTGTGTTCACACAACACGACCAACATCCCTGCATGGTTACCGTGGTTCACAGTTTCTTACCACATTCTACATAATGAGCAGTTTCTACATTATCACACTTTCCATCCTCCCCACTCAGGCCTCCTGCTGCTGTTGGCATGTATCCCATCAGCCTGAAATACAATCCCAAGGTGCATTACTCCCTGTCTGCATCACTTGCCTCTTTCTCAGTGGTCCATAAATAGAGGTTGGATGGTTGGAGCGGCTCCTGTAGTTGCCACTCTTTCCAGAGGACTCTACTGGGACCATGGAAACCATGACCCTTGGTTCAGACAGTACAACAAGCCACAGAGAAACCATGGAAGAAACTGTTGTTTCTTATCATGGTTTCTAAAGACCAAACTTACCATGGTGAAGCACCATGACTGGGTTCAGACAGCACAACACACAAGCAATGATAAAAAATCACAATGGCTTGTTGTGCTGTCTGAACCCAACTCCTATAGCAAAGTTATCATCTCAGGTGATTACAAGAAACTGATGGGCTGTGCCTTGTTTCCCTGGATATACAATGGTGGAAGCAAGAGAAGCAGGACATACCTTGGTCGCTTTGTTGGCCACGGATCCAGGGCTCTCTTGGCTAAGCTCCTGCAAGTGCTGCTGGGTCATGGCAAATATCTGATCATGGGAAAGCAAGTCAGAACACATGAGGGAGTAGATGGCACACATGGCCCTCTGTGGAGAAGCAAGGGCAGGATTAGGAAGGCAACTCGTTTACACACAGGGCTAAAGTCGTGCAGAGGGGTGCTGAAGGGGGACCCCCATTGGGAGCCTCTCATAACATCATGGTATCACCAGAACAATGGCCACCCTTTCTGCACATACACCCTCACGGGGCAAGGAAGAAATCCCATCTGTAGGAATCATTCCTAAAGCAATTAGCTGAAAGACAGTCCCCAAAGCGAGGGTAAGCAGTGCCAGTTCTATGACAACTGTTCCCGGCCACCAAAACGAAAAAACAAGTATTCCAGACTTCAGATGCAAATAGGCTTCCTCAGAGACTTGAGCGGTTTCCTCACCATGCGGACGCACTCGCTGGGGTCCTTCAAGGTTTGGTTGAGCAAGGCCAAGACCACCTCACAGTTCAGCAGCCCACACCTGTGGAAAAGGAAGCAATGAGACAACCAAAAGAGGGAAGGGTAGGGAGCAAAGGGGAGAAGAGCAAGCCGACCTTCCCCTGGACTTGCCCTGCTCCCCAAATCCATGCAGCTGTGTGTGAAATGAGCGCCCATTATCATACAATTAACAGGCAGCATTCCAAAAAGATGAAGGATTCTCCATAATTGTAATCCTGCCCAAAGATTTTGTGTATAAATGAGACAAGTCAGAATAAGGGTGCAAATTTTAAATATCATCATGACATGGCAAGTTGTCCTGAAAGCGAGAGCCTGCACATGCAGGTTGGGCCTGGGCTTTGTGCATGGGTACTTCCCTGCAATGCAGAACAGGAGCGTGTGAGGGGAAGCAGGGCAAGGCAGCATTCTGGGACAAGGAGAGTGTTCTTACTCCTTGATGAAGTGCTGAGTCTCCTCACGTGTCAGGAAGACCTTGGAGCCCTTGGTTAGTTTGTTGACAAGGCACACTTCTCGCTGGCAGTCACCAAGGTTTTCGGCTTCCATCCTACAAACAGGGAAGAGAAAGAAGCTTATAACCGATGTTCTCACTCCCACCCCACAGCAGGCTCTCGCCTTGGTGGTCCTTAAAGCAGCAGCAGACAGACTTGTGCGATCTATTTGGTTCCTGTTGTTTTTACTAGAACCCCGAGATCCATCAGCTAGAGTTTGATGCAAAAGGCATACTATGAAGTGTATGGATTTTCTGCCTCAGGTGCCTTGCCCTTTTGTGGCAGCCCTGAAGGCAACTGCTCAGGTAAGCCAACTGACAAAAACCAACACACTTGGTTTTGAGTACCAAAACTGGATGGGGGTCACAGTCTTTCCATGCAAAAATCCACTCTCAGCTACCCAAAACTTGCTTCTTTTCAGCAAGTGGGAGAAAATCATTGGTTGCAGCTATTGTTACACTACAGGAGTCAGACATCCTTGCTGATCTACTGCAAGTTCCCCAAAGATCTAGCAATAGATTGAGATTAACTTTTGAGCACTTGTGCCCTAAAACATTAGCACTTGGTCCAGGCCAGCCAAATGCTTTTTCCACCTTTCTCACCTTTCAGCAACATTTGGCTCTAGGGCACTTGAGTGGTTGTCACTGCCTGACTTGCTGTAGGAATCAGAGGTTCTGCTCAGCTCACTGTTTTCCTGCAGGGAATTCTGGGAGCTTTGCCCATTGTCCAGCTCCTCCCACCCACCTCCTGCTTGCCCAGGCTGATGGTTCACTGCAAGAGAATGTCAGAAGAGTAAATACATGGGAGAGAACGGAAATCCATCGCATCTCACACATCAAGTTCAGGAACGGCATTTACTAATTGCTCCCACCGTATTCTGCAGTCCACTGGATGTAGATGTGGGCTAAAGAGGCATGATAAGCATCCCTATGAGCAACATGATTTTTTTTTTTAATTAATGGAGGATTTAGTCTGGATTATGACTGTGTGAAGTCAAGACAACCAGTAGGTCATCTGTACCTCAGGGGCACTGCTTTTATTCCTCTCATAAGGCACCTGACCCTGACAGTTCACTCTAAGCACCTAACACTGGCTTTCAGTAAGCTTCCACTGTAAGTTTCAAGCACAGAAGGTACTGTCACCTCGCATCTTCCGTGCTACGACAGCAGGCGGCTTTGTAGGCAGGCTAGAACTGTTGCCAGGAGATGGTGCCATCACAGGCTCGTAAGTGTCATCCTTCAGTTCCCTACTGTGGGGACTAGAGAGCTCCTGACCAGGGACAATGGCATTGGCAACCACCTCAGCTGCCTTCTGGATGGTGGCCAACAAGACCTGGCCAGTGGATGCTGAAAGAACAAGAAAAGCAGGCATTATCCAGGTTCGGAGCACAGCAGCCATCATATTCAAGGAAAAAAAGGGCTGGGAGGGAAAGAGAGGCTAAGGCAGCCTTGAGCCAAATTCCATTTCAGAGAAGCACTCGGGGGCCACAAGTGCCCCAGATATCAACATATTGTAGCTTAAAGCTCTAATTGAAAAGTATTGCAGTCCTTTCCTATGGGAAAAAATTGCACAAAAGCCAGGACACCACCAAACAGATACCAACCGACAGGTGGGGCAGGGAAAGGGGGTGAACACCTGTGGGATCCTGGATTGGGTGTCCTTGTCCTCAGAAGTGGGGCTGCCTCTCAACAACAGAGCCCATGCCTCCCAGCCCCAAGCCCCATACTTACTTGAACTGCTCTGTTCAAAACCAAAGCCTTGGAGTGAGCCATGGAGGCTGGACTTGGAGCCCATTCCTAGGGAGAGAGGCGAGCATACATGAAGAGCATACATGGGAATCAGTGTGGTGATGCTACAGACAGCCCAGACTTATGGGCACACTTTCATCCCTCTGTCACTGGTTGCCTTTCGCTAGCATTCATGTAGGATCTCATTCCAGTGAAAGGAGAAAGCGGCATTAATTGCCCACTGAGAGGAGAAGGCCATGTTGCACAGACTGTGCAGGCATAACATACAGGGGTGGGGGGTATAACAGGAGGCCGCACACTGCCCGAGTGCCAAGGTGCAGGTGGCTTGCGAGGATCACCTGAAGACCAATGGCCCTAAGCCACACAGACGGACACAAAACCAGCAGCCACGGCTCTTCCAGTGCCAAGGGGAGGCCATTGGCATTGCAGCAAGCGTGACTCAATTTTTGGCTAAAACAAAGGACAGGGAAGGAGGAAAAATCAGTTCAGCCACACAGACAACAGAGACCACACGTAAAGGGAGGCAGAGGTGCTAATTCTTATTCTCAGCAGGCTTTTTGCTGAAGTTCAGTGGAAGCTTTCTTGCGGCTTGCCCTGCTGTGGCAGTCACAGTTGACCAACAATAATTTGACGTTTTCATTTCCTCTGCTTTATTGCAAACGCATGCATTTAATCAGCACTGGTTTGTTTTGCTTGGAATGGTATGTTTTATGGTTTTATTTTAAATTGCTTGAGCACTCATGGAGTGCAAGAAAGATTCTGAAATGTGTTACATTAACACTGTTGTAAGACACAGCTGCAGTCCCCCGTTTTCTCAGGACCGCTTGAAAGAGATAGCACAGACAGTTCTATCTTCCTGGCAGAAAGAAGTGGACAGAGTGTTCTGTCAGCCCTCTTCCTTACCCAGTCAAAGAATCTACCATGGGACTACTTTTCTTCTCAAGAAAGACAGACAGACAGACAGACAGACAGACAGACAGACAGACAGTTGTAGCTGAATTTCCCACTGAAAAGACCATGCAAGCAGAAGGAAAGTGTAGTGCTGTTATTTATAAAAAAAAGTACAAATCCAGCCAAGATTGTCAATGACGCAAAGCCAGGGTGGGTAACTCGGGGGATCTAGGGGATGTTTCACCCCACAGAGCCCTCTCCCTGCACTCCTGCCATCACATCAATGAAAATTGGCATCACGGCAGTAAAAAGTAGTATGGTTTGCCACCCACTGTATTGTCACTGGTGCAGTGGGGACCTCAGCAGAGGTCAGGGGGTTGCTTGTAGCCCACATGTTGCCCACCCCTATCTAGCTCCATCCTAGACCTCTGTTCTTACCTAAGCCATGGTGGTTTACCTGTTGAAGGCAGCGCTTTAGGAAGCTGAGCAGCAGGGTGGGGCAGCAAGGCATCTGAAAATAAAGCGCTTGCTAGGTCCTACAAGGGAAAGTAGTAAGTAAGCTGCAGTGCACATGCCATGGAGAATGCCCTTCAAATCCAATCCAAATCAATCCATATTCATAGAATCGGTTCAGATCTGGTGCCTGGGACTTGCCACTCACCTGCGCAGTCATCCGTACCTTCTGGTACAAGCCACTGCCGTGGAGAGGATCAGGAGGCCCTGCAAACACTGTAGAGCAGAGAAAGGGAGTAGATGAGGCGGACTAAAGCGTTCCTCTCTCATTGCCCTGCCACAGGTGTGCCCACAGAAGCAGCTGATTGTTATCCTTTTTTCAGCCAAACAGAAAAACATCCTACGCAACGTTTTCCAGTATCTATCTAATGTATATTGAGGAATCATCCCTACAGGAAAAAGATAAAATTGTTGTTCTCCTTTTGAACAGGCATAGGACTGAACTTCATGTAACCTTTGGCAAACAGGTATTTTTTCATTGTCAGGTATCTTGACTGTAATATATGAGAATATTCTCATCATAGTGCTCACTGACCTTATAGCTTTGCTGTAAGCATTATTTATTTATTTATGAAATTTGTTTGCCTTCCAATTACTAACGTCTCTGGATGGCTAACGGCATAAAGCATTACTGAAATAACATTTGCAAAGAATTGCAGACAAGCTAAAAAGGCATATGAAAGTTATGTAACATTATTAGTTGGTGTTATAAGGGCATTAGCCAATTATGCTTGCTTAGCGCTATGACCACACACCCCTCAACCTTATGCCTACCTGTAGCTTCTTGGATGAAGGAAGAATTTCGCTTGAGCTGTAAAAGGAAGTGTGGAGAGCCATGGCTGCACATGTACAGCAGGATCTTGAGCACCTGAGAATGGAGAAGAAGCTTGGCTGAGATAGGAGTCCTGGACAGAAAGCACACAGAACCCACTTAAATTAGGGGGAGGGTTGTCTCAAGATTTAAGGGTGTCCTCTCTACAGAACAACCCTAGCTTCTGAACACTTTCGTAGAAGTCTCACTTTACCTTCAGCTTGACATGACATGAGTTGCTTTGAAGGCGATTGAGGAGGTATTCCAGAAGACAGTGACTGCTCCCTGTGGACTCATGAGAGATTTCTGGAAATTTGTTGGGTTAAAGATACAGCAGGATAATACTTTAATTAAAAGAAACCTATTTGTATACAGATCTGCCACAACTTCTAGAAATATAGTTTGGGTTTAATGTATGGGGAAAGTATTGGAGAAATACAGGATGCATTTGGAAAATAAGGTTGGAAAATGTATCTAAGTGGAAGGCTATGTGAAATTTAATAGAAACAGTTCATTATGTTTTAGTTTTCCTAGCAGGTCACCTGGCTATCACTCATGGCACCCAATAAACAAAGAAATGCACGCAATGACTAGAACTAATTTATACTTAAATCTGGGGTCTGATTAATTAAGCCTCTGTTTTAACCACTATTTTTTGTTCTTCCCAGGAAAAGTGTCATAGTAACCAAAACAAGAAACTCAAATACTTTGGCCACCTAATGAGAATGAAGGACTCACTGAAGACCCTAATGCTGGGAACAATAGATGGCAAAAGAAGAAGGGGGCGGCAGAGGATGAGGTGGCTGGATGGAGTCACTGAGGCAGTTGTTGTGAGGTTAGGTGGACTCCCGGGATGGTGGAGGACAGGAAGGCCTGGAGGAGTGTTGTCCATGGGGTCATGAAGGGTCGGACAGGACTTATTGACTAAAAAAACCAAAAGCAAAACAACTCTCTGACTGTACATACAGCAGCCAACTCTTCCAAAAACCAAAGGATACTGGCAATATCTTCAAACAGATAACCTGGGCATGGGACTTCATCATCAGAGGTACCTTTGATTAGAGTGGGTAGCTGAAACACACACACATGCCAAAGAAAAGTCAGTTAAGGTGCTTCCAGACAGACAGCTCTTTGTTCCATTCCTCAGTTATTCTACCTTTTCCCAAGACAAGCAAAAAAAAAAAAAAACAACAACAAAAACAAAAAAACAGGAAAAATGCAGGAGTGTTACAACTAGAGTTGAAAACATTTGGACTCACCATAAAATTCTGTAAATGTGGGAGTGCGAGCACAAAACAAAAACCTTGTCTGGAAACTCCACTTTCACAGAATGTGGAACACCTTGAAAAGCCACCAATTGCTCTTTCTGTTCCTACACACCTTTTCTGAATCACTGACACATAAGGTAGTCGTTTAGAAAGTCTGTTCTTTCTTCTACCAGCTCACCGCTCCAACATCTGCTACAGCTGGCAGATTTCAATCTGTATCTCCTTTGCTTGAAAGAAAGGCAGAACAGGACTATTTTCCAAATAGAGAAGACAAATATTTGTCTTCCACCTTGATTCCAAATACCTAATTGGTAATTCCACTCCAGGATCATTGTCAGGGACAAAAAGACCCAATATAAGAATTCCCTACTCATTGACTGATTGCTGATGTAACTCATATTTGCTGAAAATGGTTATTTCATGACCCAAGGAGTACTTAAAAGGGGGTCTAGAGCTTCTCTATTCATCAAGTGCAGATTGTCAGAGCTGCTGTTCCTGCCATATATCTGCCTCCAGGTGCAATGCTCTGGTGCAGCAAAGGACTGAGGCACTAAATCTTACATCTTGTTACTGAGGCAACAATTCAGCATAAAGTCTTGTTTACTATACCACCTGAACTGCTGGTTTTACATCAAGCTTCTATGTCGATTGTCAACTAAATGGTAGGATTACAGTATGATACAGCTAAATATCAAAGCAAAGATTTGTCTGTGTTAGGCAACTATAGCTTGCTAACATAGTGGGTACACTCTTTGGGCCTACACTTCAGAGCACAATGCATTCTCATGTAACTATAATCAATCCAGTACTAAATCAAGTGCTCCAGCTAGATACGTAATTCGTAACTGCAACAGAATAAACTGGAAGTTCTCTTCATATACTATAGCACTTCAGGCTGTGCATGCATATTGTTTGTTTGAATGTTTTGTCCTTTCCTTTCTTTAAAAAAAGGCCTTGAAAAGGTAAACTAGGACATTTGGGGGAACGATGCAGCCTAATCTTTCCTCTGGGACGCCGGCTTGCTTCCTCTGGGACCTTATCAATGCGACAGCATTCCAGCGTATAAGCCCCCGGGCCTCAGCCCTGACAGCGCAACAGTTCAACAACCTCCCTTTGTCTCCCAAGCGTGTGTGCGCTGGCCCTTACATTCTAAGCGCTGGGCACACGTTTCCAAAATACCGGTCTGTCAAAACCCCCAAGGCGTACCCCCTGATCCGGGGAACACAGGGGCTTAACCTTCGACGTGTTAACCGCCCCCCACGGAGCCGTCCCTCACACCCCACACATGCTACTCAATATTGCCTTATCCAATTTATACCCGACTCAAGAAGCTCAGCCGATCGCGCAAAGGTACTGCCGCCATGATATTTTCCGATCCCAACCATGAGCTTCTCTGTCTCACCTCCGGAATAACGGCTAGTCCAATCAAACGACGATATTATTTAGTCTAGCCAATCATCTTCTAGAACGAGCGGGAAATCGTTTTCACGGCCCGACGCTTCCAAGGAAGGGCGGAACGGACTATAGCAATATCCTATTCTCTATCCAATCGAAACCTTCTATGTATACATAGAAGCCGAACGAGCGAGCATCGAAAGCGGTAATTCAATCAGAAAAGAGGAAGTTTTTGACAAGGCGGCGCTCACCCTGCCGGGCCAATGAGAGGCGCCCAGAGGCGGGCGGGCGGTGGCCCGGGTGCGGACGCGCGTGGCTGATCGCCGGCGGAGCGCGCCTTTCGCGGCCATGTCCGGCCGAGGGATTTGGGGGCGCGTTCGGGGGAGATTCGAGCGCTTCCCTGAATTGCTCGCGAGCTGTGGGGAGCAGGTAGGGGGGCGGAAGGGGCAGGCGCTTCTCCGTGGCCACGGCAGCCTTGACGCAGCGGTCCCTGAGTCTTCGTAATCTTTACAACGACCGTGCGCAGAAGGCCGGCGCTGTCGCCCCCGGTGCTCCCAACACAGCGTCGCTTGTGCGTGGGAGGGAATCCGTCCAAAGCGCCCTTTCTCGGGCGGGGAGGGTGCCCGGAAGGGGACGTTCTCCCCGGGGGGGAGAGCTTCGCGTGTGGAGATGGGCCAGATAATAGCGGAGCTCATCCGCACTTCCGAGCTTTCGGCGCCCCTCCTCTCGGGATCCTGCAGATCGCATCTAGTGTTAAAGCAGATTCCACTGAAAGGAATGGGACTTAAGCTAGACTAAAATCGGATGCAGCCCCGCATTTCTGTGGCATATCCACGCACCTCTCATGCCATCCCCACAGCGGGCCCACTCCACTATTTAAGAATGACTGCACTGTGGGGGATACAGTAGTTGATGATCAGTACAGATTTTCTTGCGTTTGGGGAGGAAAGACTTCAATGGGAAATGATGCCCCTTTGGGTAACACTAGCACAGGTCTGTAATCTACAAGCAGGTGTGAGCCTGAGACTATCCCTTTCAGTGCTAAGAAATCAGGGAGGTTGAACATACACCCGCAGCTGACTGGGACTGATCTTTGCAGGCTTCAGTCTATGGCAAATGCATTGCCTCCAATGCAACGGGTCATGGGGACCTCAAAAAAGATGTGTGCGCTAAGGAATTTGAAATGCTGATGGACTGCTTCACAAAGGCTGTGAGTTAATTTTTTTTAACTGTACAGTGAGATCAGCGTCTTCACCTAATGTTCTTGTTAGGGTGCAAATACCATAGAACAGACAAGCTAATATATTTGTGTGTGTGTGTGTGCATGTGAATATAAATATATAGATACGTGCTGTCACTGCAACCTTTCCTTTGCACTTGGAGGTCTAAATTAAGAAACCCAAGCAAGTTCCAGTCATCAGCATAGAAAGTTTTCCTAAGGTAGAATTCTTACTGTAAAAGAAGCACACAGTATTGTGGTATCTTCTGCAAGTAAGGGATATAAAACTAGTTTATACTGCTTCTAAGATGAACTGTGGAACCCACATCAACAGCTATTAGTTTGGTTTTGTTCCACCAAACAGGATATTGGGTCAATGTATTTTTGGTCTTTTCCTGTAAGTAGCTCTATAATTTGTAGGCTTCTTTCCACCCTTGTGACCAAGAGAAATTTTGTGGCAGTTGTGTAGCAATCTCATGATCCCGCAACATTTGTGAGCATAAGAAAGAAAAGCCAATTCTATTTAAAAACTGGGCATGCATAGCAAATCCTGATACTTCGACATTTCTAAAATAACACCAAGTGTATTTTCTGCCAACTGATTTGTGCCAGCAAAACATGGCACCAGGTATCAGTAGACAGTTTTCCTGCTGTGATGACTGCCTACTGTCATAAGCACTTTACGCTTGTAAGGATGGATGTGTTGACAAACTAAGCAACTAAAGAGGAGGTGGATATTTTGGACAGGTTCTTTTGCATGGGAATTACGGATAGCCTACCTTCAAGTGAGGTTTAGCATTTTGGAGTCACACAGCAGCTAGGCATTACGGGAGGATGTTGGGTTTGCTGCTCTTTTGAAATCACATGGTTTTCTGGTGCAGCATAGATACAACTAAAGAAACGGTCCATAGATAGACTTACATAATAAATACATAGTCCTTAGTGATATGAATCCTAACAGTAGTGACTCATTAGAATTGATCTTTCTTTATAGGCAAAGAGGAATGTAAAGTAAAACCTTGAAGTGGACATTGACTGCAAACCTGGATTTATGGCTGTTTTCAGCACAGACGTATAAAGTGCTTCATCCATCATATCAAGGAGAGAAATTTAAAAAAAAAAAAAAACACGAGCAGCTCACAGTACACAAAGAGTCATAGGTTTTCAAATTCTGCATGTAAACCAAGCACTGTCTGGAAAAATAATTTTCTGGGAAAAGGCTCAGTGCATGCGGGTTTTGACTTAAATATGTAGTAAACATACCTACTAATACAATTTATGGTGGTGGGGCTGGGAGGCAGCAGAGACCAAAGTACTGTGTCAAGAACTGGAAGTGCAAGGCTGGAAGATGCAGAAAGAACATTTAATTCAACCTTTAACACTAAGGGTGAATTCTCATTCTGTTCAATCTGCTTGTAGCGTTTGTGTAAGTGAAAATGTGTGTGCAAGGTGTGCTATACCGGAGATTCCTGTATGGCAAAGTACATGGTAGTAAACAGGCAGCCTCCTCTTTCTCCACAGGTTATTTGTGCCATAGTTAAATTGGTTTTTACTGGCAGTTTTGCCCTAAGGATTTAACTCATTCCCTCCCTACTCACAGGAACAGGATACAAAGTAGGGCACTACAGCTAGAGCTTTGCTTAACCTAGTTGATATTGTTAATTCCAGCTAGCTCCTGAAGATTTGGGGCGAAGAAGAGGCAGGCCCTGAGTGTCAGCTTCTCTAATAGCACTGCTTAATTTGTGTAAGAATATTAATTCAGTGGCAGCATGTTTTTTTTAAAAAAAGACACCAGCTCCAAGCCCTGCTGTGTAGAGGAATCTTAACGCTGAATGTCTGATTTCCCTTCTGAACATAGATTTCCCTCTTGCAGCTTTGGGGAAAAAAATCTAATCAGTGAAACTGCCTAAGGAGAAAGACATTTTATAGGCCAAGGTTACAGAACAGCATGGGAATCTGCCCAATAGAATTACAGCCGTACTACTACTGGCTCCTGCTGACCTCAGAAGCCAGCCCTTCACCAAAAATCACAGTTGCCAAGGCTCTCAGGGAAGGTGTAGGTGATTCCAGATTTGGGCAATCTTCTTTCTAGTTCAGTGTTTTTCAATCACTGGTCCATGGGCTGGAACCAGTCCACTGGGAATTTCCTGCCAGTCCGTGAAAGAGCTAATCACCCTGAACATACTCAGAAATTTAAAGTCTTTATAGTCTGAAATAACACAATTGTATCTAATATCTAATAGAATTTATACAATTGGGTAATTTCGGGTGTTCAAGTTAAGGTAAAATTTTGGACACATAGTATGATGTTCTGCAGCATAGTGCTATTTGGGACAGAGTCTAGGTAGCAGTGTGTCGGGATTATAGGGGTGAGTAAATGTTAACCTCCCATTGGCTTAGGTATGATGCACGTCATCAAATGCATGTCATTCAGGTGGTACTTGTACTTTATACTCGGTAGGGATACATTCTGTCTGTCTGTCAACACCGCATGCAAATCTGGTGGTGGTGTTTGGAAATACTTAGTTGCAGTATTTGTTAAAGTAAGTTAGTCTTGTTTCAATGTGGTGTACTTTTGACATGGAAAAATGGAAAGAAAAAAACAAACCGTTTCAACCATCTTCAAAAGCAAAAACAATAGCCAAAAGAAATTTATTGATGATACCGAAAGTAAGCCAACTATGAGTGCTTCAAGTTTAAAAGGAACAGTGAAAATGAAATGTGTTCATACTCCAGGAGGTGCTACAGTAACAACAGCAAAAGTAGCTTTGTTAGGCATTACCATAAGGACTATTTAAAATTTGGTTTCACTGTAGCTCCTGGTAGTGAACAATTGCCACTTCCCTTGTGTGTGGTATGTTCTGAAATTTTGTCAAATGATGTGATGAAACTTTCAAAACCTGCTGGTCGTTCGTGTTTGAAGCACAGCGATTTATTGATGAGCCACTTGAGTTTTTTTAGACCGCATAACCAAATAAAAAGGCAGAGAATTAAAATGAAGAAAATGACGACTAGTGATAAATCGCTGCTTCAAGCATCTTATTTAGTTGTCCTTCAGATATTGAAAACAAAAGTTCACTATTGGTGAAGAACTGGTAAAGCCTTGAATCTTAGATGTCACTCAGGAAATTTTGGGTCCTCAAGCTGCTCAAAAGCTTGAGGCTATAGTGCTTTCAGACACCACCATTCAGAGAACTGTTGATATGGCCAGTGATACTGAAAAGTAAATTGTAGAGGGGGTAAAGAAATCAACGTTTTTTGCAATTCTACTTGATGAATCAACAAACATGAGCAACTGTGCTATTTTATTTTGCTTCATGAAGTATACTGAAGATGAAAACTTCAGGGAGGAACTTGTCTTGATTTACCTGGATGGACCACTAGTTTAGAGATATTTAATGCTCTTAGAAAGAGCATTAGACAGGGCTTAGAAAGGGGAAAGTGTGTGCGTCAGCGTGTGTATGGATGGTGCTGCAGCACGAGTGGAGATCGCTCAGGGGTAGTTGTGAAAATAAAGGCGGTTGCCCATCCAGAAATGTTGCCCACTCACTGCAATTCAGTGGCAGCACTTGGTTGCAAAGAAACTTTCTGCTAAGCCAAACACTGATGGATGATGCAGCAAAGATCATAAATGAAATTCGTAGTTGAGTTTTGAACTCCAGGCTGTTTATGACACTGTGAAAGTATGAACTCACAGCACCATCATCATCTTCTCTATACCAATGTAAGGTGGCTAGCGAGGAAGGGTTCTTGCATGTCTTTTTGAATTGAGAGAAATAAAACATTTTTCTGTGAGAGTGGAGTTCTGCATTAGTAGAGGCTTTGTTGGATGAGGAATGGATGGCTAGGCTTGTGGATATATTTAGCCTTTTCAACAAACTTATTACTTCTCTTCAGGGGTTTTGCACAAATATTTCACACTGAGAAATAGGATGCATTCAAAAAGAAACTGGTTCTTTGGGATGGTCATGTACAAGATGATATAGAAATGTTTCCATGTTTGCAAGACTTTTTGACTGCAGCTGATGTCAACCAGAAATTCATATTTAATATAAGTCAACATTTAAAGGCATTAGTTCAAAACTTTAACAACTATTATCCTGAAAATTAGGATTCCCATAAAGGTAACCACTGGATTAACAACCCCTTTATAGAAGATATCAATTCATGCACACTTAATCATCATGAAAAAGAAAAATCAATTGCGTTATCTTCTGATGTCACTCTGGTGTCCAAACATAAAATGCTATCTCTCACAATTTTGGATATCACTGGAAAAAGAATATCCTTTTTAGTTACAGAGCTATTAAACTGTTAATAATGTTTTCTACTATGTATTTGTGTGAAAAGGGTTTTTCAGCCCTGTAATGAATAAAAGCCAAACACAGAATCAGAATGGCTATCAATGCAGTGCTTCATCTCTTGGAAACAACACTACAGCCACGATTATCAAGTATTCTTGAATAGAAGTAACCAGATTTTTCACTAGCATTATTTGAATTAAATATTGCTCTCTAAAAATTTCAGCTGTATTCGATTACATTTAAATTTCAATATTTTATTCTTTTATTAGCATTTTTTTACTGCTCGGTTTCTGGTTAGAGAATTTATTTTTTGGTGTTATATTTAAAAACTAATGCACAAAATACTGTATTATGTATATACTATTTTTTGCCTCTGTAGTTCCCACAATAATTTTCCTTTTTTCACCAGTTCCCAACTATAAAAAGGTTGAAAACCACTGGTCTAGTTGACACTTCTGTGTGGGCATTGTTTTACAGAAGGCTAGATGTTTCATGTGAATGCCATTAAAGTATTAAAAATGCCATTAATCTGTGAGCCTGTAAATATTGGTTAGGAGTGTGCTAGGCTACTGTAACTGTGTCTCACAAACTGATTTATTTATGGTATATATGAAATGTCAGCAGTAGATCTGGCTGGAACCAAGTAATTTTCATGAGGGTGCTTATTAAGATCATAGCTTAAGAGGTGGCTGAGCTCTGATACACTGGACTTGTCCTCAACACGCCGATCGGCTGGCTCTGTGGGTGGCAGCTGAGATCAAAAGAGGATGTAGAAACTACAAAGCAGGTCATGATCAACAAGGTACATATTGCCTGCAGGGCTGCAGTTCAGCATCATTACATTTTGTGTAGCGCATACTGTTTCCAAGAAGAAAAAAGGCTCCAGGTAAAATGCTTGAACTGACTTTATTGGTTTGTGCAGCTTGGCCATACCCCCAGCTGCTCGTCACTGTACAACCTTGCCAACTAGAACCTGTGCTATGGTACCAAGGGAAGAATTCTAGCTGAAGTCCACTGCCTTCTTCCTTCAGTCTCTCTCTCCACTGTTGCTTGGAGATGCCTTGATTAAAATGCACTTGCTCCGTGGAGGAATGTGAGAAGTATCTTTGGTCACAGAGCAGGCACAGCACATAGTCACGTCGCCATTGGTTGGAAGAAGCCTGGCAGGACATTCGAGCGGATGCCCTTTACAGTACAGCAGCTTTCCTGGTATTTACAAAAAACACACTCTAGAAAGAAATCATATATACATAACGGAAGGAAATGATACAATCCCAGCTGCGGGTTAATTGTGCTTCGAGTATTACCACTCACTGCCTGCATTTCAGAATCATGCTAAGCTGTATCTTTTCCTAACCTAGAGTCCCCTGAAGTTAGATGTCAGTTCTTACCACCTCAGCCAAAGAGCTGAGGTGATAGGAATTATGAGTCCCATAACTGGGAACCCTGGGCTGGGAAAGATTGCATTAAACCATAGTTTAGTGCCTTGAGAATGAGTTGCAGGGAGCCTTGTGGTGTGGGCACAACAGGAGTTCAAAAGACATCCCTTCTCTTTCTGTTTAAGCGTGGCTTGTCACGTAAGCTGAACCAAGTAGCTGTGGGTGCTGTTCATCATGATCTGTTTGATACAAACCATAGCTGACGGTAAGCAACAGTTTGGTATTCAAGTGGCGTGACAAGTGTTGGTTATGCAGACAAGGCAGCAAGAGCTTCTGAGCTCTTGCAGCTGCGCTGGAGGGCAGCCGGGGAAGCGAGCGAGCCTGAGCACGCTGCAGCCCATTCCCGTCGGGCCAAAGTACGGTTTAGCATGAAGAAACAAAAGGGGCCATCGGGACTCCTGACGATTAAGGCTGCAATGAAAAGCATGTTCATGACAAGGCAAAATGCCCCTGCAAGTAGGTAAGTGGAACCAGCCACGATGCTTCGTCTCCTGCTTTAGAGTGCCTCAAGCACAGTCTGCAGGCAAGATATGGCAAAGGTGGCCCCCAGCTGCATTCCTTTTGTCAGGACATGCTATTGCCTCAGAAGCAGCATCAGTACTGGCATCTCTGCCTGCTGAACCCAGACATGCTGTTCTGGAAAAGCAGGCGAAACAAGATACAGAGGCCATTTTACAGACTGAAAGACTTGCATCTGCTTATAGCATAATGCTTTCACAGTGCCATATTCCATTATTCCAGCAGTCTGAAGAATCTCAGATTAGATGGACAGATGTCAGGTATGTTCAAAGCTGCTCAGTCTTGCCTTCTCAGTTGTTAGCAACAAATGCTTGTCCCCTACCAGGAGGCCTGAAACAAACCAGTTTTGCACAAGTCTGTGAGCCATGAGTCAAGGATCAGCACTACCAGTTTTCACATTCCCATGAAGTGGGAGGTAGTGGGGGAAGCTTTCCATGGCAACAGTGGGCGCCCTTGCCAAATGGAGGAGAGAGGTAGATGCAAGCTGGCCCACTTTAATAATGCCTCCTGGAAATCTCATTTCACTTTGAAGCATCACATCTTCTTGCAGCAAGTGACTGTCAAGAGTTTTCACGCACAGTATGGTTCCGTAATGCACTTTGTATAGGAATGTTTTAAAAGCATCAACCTAAGCTTTGATAGCTTAGAGAGAAAAAGAATGGATGGGTGACTTCTTTATTATTGCTAATACGGACCTGTGGCCAAAGACGACCAAAACAGCCCGTTTAAGTTTGGATCCAATTCTAACTAGCACAACTTTCCCAAGAATTTCTCCCTGGAATGGCATGTCTTCTCAATGCAGACATAGAGCTTCCTTCACTTTCTTGATATTGTTTCCAGAGGCAGGTCAACAATTCCCCAAAGGGTAGACAAGGTAGAAAGAAACAATCCAAATTAACTTAAGGGATGCAAGCACACGGAGCGGAGGGGCAGCTTGAGCCAACACGGAAAGATGACGAGCCTGAAGACAGGCTTTAATGCCAAACACAGAGATTAAAGCAATGAGGTAAAGGCAACTGAGCAAGAAGAAAATGCTAATGTTTCTTTGGAAAGGTAGCAAGCGCAAAGCACTCTCCAAAGCCCAGAAGACGGGTGGGCCTGATTTCTGCAGTTTCGCCACCAGCACAACAAGGAGAAAGTGTTACAGCGTCGATGTATGCAACTGGCTGGCAATAATGGAGTTCCTCTCCTTGGCAGAGCGGGCAGGTCAACATTTGCCCATTCTGACTGCCAGCAGTTGCATTCCCAGCAGCGGTTTGTTCAGTAACAGACACCCCCAAATGGCTGGCAGCGGTTCACATCTGTTCCCAATAGTGCAAAGGCTGCCTCGTTCACACCTCTTCCTCTGCCGCCACTATCTGTTTAATCTGTCGACTATGAAGTGCTTGCTGGGCACCTTCTGCTGCCTGATTTAACCGAGTCTCCAGCGCACCACGGAGGTCATTGACTTTCACGTCTGGGAGGGGATTAAGTCCAATGATCACGCCCCCCGTCTCCCCCGCGTCTTCTTCCAGGTCCCGCCTCCTGCGGCGTAGGTCCAGATCAGCTTGCAGCCTGAGGTCTCTGTTGGGCTTGCCGTTGTCGTGGTCCCGAGGGGCGGCTCGCGCATGCTCTGGCAACCCGGGCAACTTCTCTTGTTCTTTCGGCTCGTCCTCTGCCCGAGGCTCTTGCTCATTAGCGTGAATGGACTGTGGGCTGTGGGCCGCAGCGACCATTTGCTCCTGGCCGTCAGCCCCCTGGGCCTGCAGCCTCTGTGCCTGGTCCAAGGAGGTCTGTTTCTCCATTCTGTCAACACGTACAGCTTCTGGGACTTCCAGCTTCTCTTGCTCAATTGCAGCAACCTTTGGTTTATGGGCAACATCGGCTTTCCCTTGATCAGGGGGCTCCTCATTTTTAGCTTCCTTGGCAGGCGGCTCCTTCTCAGACTCTCTCCGAGGAACCCTCCCAGCAGCGTTAGCAGCCTCAAGGATTTCTTTTTGGCCTTTAGCTCTTTCTGCAACCTCATCTGTTTTCTGAGCGTACTTGCCCCTTTCCTGGGCGTTTTGTACCACTTGAGTGTCCTGGCCTTCTTTTAATCCCTCGTGCTTTTCGTGCTTTTCCTGGTGAAGCCCATCAGCCTTTGCTTTCTGTGAATCACTTCTGACAGGCTCCATTACTTCCCCAGCTTGGTTTTTCCCAGCCGGGAGCTGTGCCATTTTCTCACCATCATTCCTGTGAGCTGCAGAGTTCTTATGTGGAGCGCCAGTTAATTTGCTACGCATATGCTCTCCTTCTCCTGGACCTGCAGCCTGCTGTCTTCTCTGCTCATCAGAGGCTTGGGACTGCTTGTCAAGCATTTGCAAGGGACGATCCAGTCTATCATTAGGTATGTTCTTTGCGGCACCTTCAATTTTATTTTCAGGGTCTTCCTCCCTTTCCTTACTCTTGGAGAAAGGTTCTTGGAGAATTTCTGTTGCAAAGTGAAGCAAAAAGTGCTTAGTTATTGTTTAGTCTAGCCAAGGGGAACTCTGCCTACTAGCAAATAGGGAGTGGACACAAAGGACTCCCAGGTGGTCACACCACGTTCTGCCTTCTACTTAATGCCACCCACAGCCCCTCACGTCTGCCTGTCATGGCTACCAAATTAATTCTGTAACCATTAACAAGGCATACATGCTGGAAGCAGAGGCTTCCTGCAGTTTTGAACAACTGCTGAACTGCGCGGCCGGCTCCTCAAACTCCACTGTCGCCTTCCCTCCACTTGATCTATGCCCCCATGGCTTCTAATTACATGTGAGCTAGACATTTCACACCATGCTGTCCTGGCTTCCAGAATGAAGATGGCTTTGTTTTGCTAAATGTGGAGGAAAGCACCAGAGAAGAGGCATCCCCAGGGCAGTCTCTGTACTGGAGCTGAAGAAGTGGAATCACTCATGTCTCCAGTATTCCCTTCACACGAGGCCTACGTAAGCCCTGTCCTCTTCGGTTTACCTTGCTTTGGTTTCTCATCTCCCTCCTCTTGCTTCTGCAGGTGGATTTCCTTGTGCTGTTCTTCAATGACTGCCAGCAACTTGGCCTGCTGCTCTAAGAGCTGCTTCTGCTGAACCTGCTGTTCCTTAATCACTTGCAACAGGACTGCATTGTCTATCAGATTCTTCCCAGCTTCTACAGAGAGAGGGGGGGAAGGAAATGGGGCTAGGATGAATGCACCAAAATGGTCTACTGTGCATCTTCATACAGGAAGTCAGGAACAGTGGTGTGCATGCTCTGGTCTCCACAGCTCTAATCTCGAAGCAGTAAGTCACTTTGATGCACACTCTTCTCCTGTGGCTGAAAGAAACCCAACTCCCCCAGCACCTACTGGAAAGACCTTGATGGAAATAATTATCATTCTGGCTTTATCTGTTTGTCTTGAAATGTCTTCTTTGTCTGTACCTTGAGCAGCAGCCACACACAACGACTTTTAAGTAGGGAGGGACAGCCCGTTCCAACAGAAAGCAAAGTTACGATCAAAGAAAGCAACAGAACCTGGCAGAATGTAGCTAAAACAGGCGGGGGCTCAGGGAATGAATGCATTTTGTGACATTTAAAAGGAAATGGATTTGTGCACTTGCTGTGGCTATCCTGGGGGAGTTTCATGCAGAGATTAACAAGTTTGGGAACTGTGAAGGAACTGATGGAATCACAAGAGATCCCAGGGTGAGATGCCTGGTTACAAACAAGCCATCGATAATGCAAAGGCTAAAGTAATTACAGCAAGTTCATGCAATGCATTTTCCTAACACCCTCACATCTGTTGTATCGTTCCCCATAAAGTCAGAACCTTGAGAATTAGGCTTTAAGTTGTGATTTATTTCAATGCATACCTGCAACCAGCTTTTTAATCTTGTCTGTTTCAGTCCCATTGTGAAGCAGAAGGGAGAAAGGCATTACAAAACAACGACTTCCTTTTTGTGTTGCTTCACACAAAAAACCAAAGAGAATAAGTGATCAAACAGATACTACAGTGCACTCTTCAATGGGCAGGAAGAGATGGGTGAGCATGTGTGCCTGATATATTGGGGGAGGGAGAGATTGTGACATGCTCCCGTGACAATTCAGGCCGCCTCCTCTCCTTATCGCATCACCAGACACATCATTGCCAGTCAGGCGGTCTGCTTTCCCCAGGTTTGGTCTTCACTGCTATTGGCTGCCTGCTGGCTCCTTCTCTCCGCCTTTCCCCTGCAAAGACTGACCCAACAGTTGCTTCCTGGGCTAAAGACAGACAACCAACAGCCTCCTCACTGGAGCTGCCTGAGGGGCAGGCTTATGGCTTGGCTGAAGGCCACAGGAAGAAAACGGGGCAGTCCGAGTCAACGCAGGCACGGCCTACTTGGCCTTACCTCAGCTGTCAACAGACACCTGACTCCACCTTGAGCAGCCAGACTACAACCCCCACCTGGCACTTTCTAACAGCACTTTCTTAACTGGGTGCTGCACTGTTCCTCCCATGCATGAGTAGTTAGTATTTAAATGGGTGCCTGGCGGGCAGGGACAATCCAAGGCGGCCTGCCCCATTCCCATATAAAGCAGTGACTGTGTGTGCATACTTGTGTGGACAGAGAAGCTTGGCTGTGCTTCCCCACTGATGACTTGCAAGCACGGTGTGGCCTGGGCCCAGTTAAGAGACAGTCCGTTAGTGAATTACTAACATGGAAAGTGCGGTGTCTCAAGCCCCTGCCAACGGGCTGGTTCGCACCTAAGCAGAAGACACGGTGGGCTCATCTTCCCATGGGACCAACATTTTAAAAATGCAGGTCATGGCAGGAGTATGCCACCGCTTGTTCTTGCATGCCAACCTGGCTGGAGTGGGCAGTTGGACTGAATATGAACCACCCAGAGTCCTAAAACAGGCCATGGCTTTCGAATGGGTCGTTAGTCGTCCCGATACCGTATCCTGGCCAGGTTTGCCCTGTTATGTGCAAGCATCCCTGCCACCGCTTGCATTTTAAAAGAATGGTGCCTGACAGCATGGTGACCCCCTCATGCCCAGAAAATGTTCGTCCTGCTGTAAGACATGTGATGGCTGGTTACCGTAACTGCAGGGAGATGCGTGGTGAACGAGGCTGGAGACTGTTACACTTCCAGGACTGCGTCATAGCGCTGAAAGTGCTTTCCAATAGTAAGGCTCCTAGTGATCAATTTATTATCCCTAGTTATGGATGTATTATCATATTATTTACATTCATCTTGCCCTTTCTTCGGGGAGCTCAGGGCAGTCTAGAATCTGCCCTTTGCCGGAGCCCCGTGAGGCGATGTCAGTCTGAGAGAGAAAATACTGGGCTAAGGCACGTTCCTCGGTTGTGCAAAGGTCTCAATCTGGGACTCTCCCTGGTTCAGCTCCTGGGAAGGGATCAGCTCCCTAGCTTAGTGAACTCTTATTTTTGTTTATGCATCTGAAATAATTGGGTCTGTCAAATTTAAAGGAAAAATTGTTTTGGGTTCTGAGAGGCTGAATGAGATGGAAATGAGATGATGGAGAAAACAGAAACAATCTGCCTTCCAGCTTTGCCAAAGCATTGATGTATTTAAGTTTTGAGTGTTCCCTCAAGAATGCAAAAATATGTAAATGGATGCAATGTGGACAGGTACCTACTCTCTGTCCATGGGTGTGCACTGAATGACGGCGGTTTCTCAGTAGAGCACTTTGCCCATATTTAACGGAGTTCTCTCTGTAAGCAGCATATGAGTTCTAGGATGCAGAAGGAACTGGGCTTAAATAATGTGGCCCCATCATCTCAAATGTCATCACCCTCATCTAGGAAACTTTTTTTATTTGGACTTGAATATTATGGAGGATACTTCTAATGCACTGTGAGCACTGCTGTCTTGTAGGAACTCACAGAGTACATATCATAGCACTGTAATTCCCTGCAGATTTTATTTAGTCTTTTTGCTAATCTCCCCGCACTGCCATTTTTGCCTTTGTTAAGGAGTCACCTGTCGGTTTACTTTTCCAATGTGGAGTTTACACCAACCGTCTTGCCCCTTTGATCACTTCATTCCCCACACATATGGGTGGCAAGTTATCTCGGGACCTTTGCGACCCACTGGGAGTCCTGGTTGCTAGTTATGCTTTGTTCCGGAGGGAACATCACCTTTTCTATAACATGAATGCTCCACCACTGGCATTAACACAGTGCAGAGCTGTCCCAATTTCCACATTACAGCTTCAAAGTGTCTCAGTTTTGAAAGCAAACCTGCTTCTGCACAACCAGCTGGGAACTGAGAACCTGGAGACCTCTTGCCAGCAATATCTGAAGACGTTAAACAATGTGTGTTCTTGGAGGAATTAAATGTGAAAGCAATTGGCAGTAAGTGTGTGGGTTACACAGAAATGATACCCAGGCAGTTTTGGCATTAACTCTAATAAAGACAATCAAGCGAAGGCAGAAGGTTTGAACTGAGGAAGGGGCACAATTGTATAAAGGGGCCTTTCGCACAAACATTCACACATGAGAGTCCTGGGAGAAAGTCAGGAAGCCCATCTCTGTAGCATCAGGTCTCCACAGTAACATAATAAAGAATGAACCTTAGGACTTCTAGCAAAGAGCTTCTCTGAGGTGACATTTCATCAGACTGACAGAGCCTTAGGAAGTGTGTTGTGACTGAGACAGAGAGAGAGAGAGACAGAGAGACAGAAAGACAGGGCTCCTGTAGCCCCACAACAACCAGCGACCTTTAAATTGGTACAAAAAAATGGGGAGGGGGAGAGAAGATGGAGATGATGGGACAGTACGCTGTATCTCTGAATGTATTCCCCTTGATTGCAGAGAAACAAACCAACAGAAAGCATGCACAAGGACTCTGTGCAAAGAAAACACTACTCTTTCAAGCCACTGTAAGGCCTTCATGTAGGTGCATTCTATTTTGCACAACTAGGGAGACCTTTTTCCAGCGACACTGGATAACTTTTAGGAAGCAGTCTTGAACTGCATGCTCTCCATTCCAAGCAGAGACCTTAGTGGGTCCTATTTTCTCATTTTCAAAGCTAGCATAGATGAGGCTATGCTGCCCAGGGGGCTGCAACCTCAGGTTACAGGCTCCAAGGTGACACCAAGGCAAGATGACCTGGCCTTGTAGCCTAGCTTTGCTTTGGTCACTCCCTCCTTCAAAGACCCATGGCATCCTGGCCCAAGCGCACAGACCACAGAGAGCCAAGGAGACAGAGAGGAATTCAGATGTGTCCATCCTCTGTGTGGAGCAGGGGCAATGCTTACCCTCCAGCTTGCTATCTGCATTCTCATCTGTATTGCGAATCTCTCTTTGGTCAGCTTCAGGGGGCTCTAGCTTCTCTGGAGGAAACAGCTCCTTTTTTACACCTGCAAAAAAGGATGGACAGGATGCATCTGACGGGAGCAAAAAAAGCAGCAGATGTTCTCTGCCAAAGGCTGCCTTTCCTCCTCCCCTCCCTTGCCCCCTCCTCCAGCCACTCTGTATGCAGTTTCTATTCAACTTGACTGCAGAAAAAGTCATAAAAATATTTAACAGCATTAGAGCCTGCTGGCACTGAACCAATGCTAACTGCCTGAGCCCATTAAAATGCAAACCCTAACCCTGGAGAGCTGTGCAGTGGGCACTTAGCAAAGTGGCACCTGCCAAGCTCTCCTAGCCCTGGGTCTCCACTGAGCAGCACAGCCCAGCCCACGGTGCTTAGCAGGTGAGCAAACAAGTGCTCAGTTGTTCTCACAGGGTTTGCTACTGCCGGCTGACGGTAACCCACTTGCCAGCAATGATGGGAAGGGCTGTACTTTTGTGCAACAGCTGTAAGAAAACATGCAATGGATGCAAGCGCCTGAACATTCTTCGCTGAAAGGAATCTTGCCTTATTGCAGTGGATCTTTCTCACTCGTTCTTTTTCAAAGCAAAGCTCAAGGCGGAGTGGGCAAGGGGGACTTTCAGCACCGAGGAGGCACTTGGGATGAACAGCCAGAAGCCACACTGCAGGTGAAAGCTGGTGGGCGGGTTGCTGGTTGTTGTGGGAGGCAGAAGCAAGGGAATTCTTCAATACTCCCAGCCATTAAGGACCAAAGTGGTTCTCCAAAAGCTCAGGTTAGGTGTGGCTCAAGCATCCCTACATTCTTTAAAAATTTGGTGAGACAAGCCAAATACTTCAGCGATGTAGAGTTAAGTGAGGCATGGAAGCTCCCGGGATTAACCCTAACCCAAGAAATGAGCTGCACTCTGCAGAAGGAAGCAGGGGGCAGCACTTACCCGTCTCTTCAACAGATTTCACCCTCTCCTTTCCGTGTTCTGCTAACTGCAGATTGGCACCATCCTTCCCACCCACTGCTTGGCCTTTCCTCTCGCCCTGCTTGTCCAGCTGAAGGTCTTTGTAGGGAGGCCGCTCATCCTCCCGTGCAACCCCCTCTTGCAGAATCTTTGGGTCTTTCACAGGATGGTCCTCCAACTTTTCCTGGCTGCCATCTCCCTTTGCTTGTTTGGGGACTGGTTTATGCTGTGCTGGTTCCTCCACCAGCACAGGATTCTCCTCCACCAGGACTTCTTTGTTGTCTGTTTGCTTTTGCTCTGGCTCCTCACGGTCCTGACCCTCATCCACCACTACTTCGTCATGTGGCACAGGTGGCTCATGGCGATGGGCTTCTCCCACAGGCTGTGCAATACCTACAGGGAGAAAAGGACGGCTGTCAACCTGGGAGAGCTGAGGAAGCACTGCAAGGCAAGTTCCTGCTCATGCACAGTCCCTGCAAACCAGGGACTATGTATCTGGTGACAGACCAAGTGAAAGCAGAGTCTGGAACGACAGGAGGAGAGGTGGAATTGGCTCGTTCTTGTTTCACAGGCCACTGGTGTGGGGTCTGCCCTTTTCCACCATCAAAGCTTCCAGTCTTACTCCTTCCTAATTCTATGCTACCTTGGTCGGGACGGTCCAGTTGCACCTCCTCCTTTGGTTTCTCCTTCTCTTCTCTCTTCGGCACATCCATGGGAACCTTGATCTGTGGCTGTTCCACCTCTTCTTTCCCATTCAGCAGAATGGGCTCGCCATGGTGGTCAGGCACTTCTTTCATTTCTGGATTCTGGTCTGAAAAGCAAGGAGACAGTTCAGCAAACAGTCAGCTCCCTGCACTGTCCTGTTGGCATAAAGCCACACTTCACGTAACTGCTTTCTGCATGTAACTGATTACTGCTTTCTGCTTTATTGAAATGAAGCTGTGAAGGGACAGCAAGGTTGACTGGAGCAGCAGTACTTGGGAAGAGGCTGTTTAACATGGTTTACTGGCACAGTGCTCCAGATCTACATCCCACCATCCTGTTAGGTGTCCTACTGGCACGGGGGCATGGGTGGGAAAGCAGCTCAAACTGCAACCTCAAGGGGCTATTTAAATCAGGAAATTGGCATGAAAACCTGCTCCTCGGTGCTTCTCCAATCAAATTAACTGCCCTCCCCTTCCTCCTCTGCATTTCATTAAATGTTGGGAGAGCCAATCACAGATCATCTGCACATGCACAGTTTGGCCCTGGATGCTGCATTTACTTGGCACAAACAAAATGCCACCACTTGGGATGTGTAGCCACTAGATGGCAGCATAGGTTTTGTTCATTTGCATTCCATGCATAACAAGCAGCAGCCCAGCCAGACACCGGGAGAAGCCAGGCTTGGCCAAGGAAACTCACCTGCTGGGATTAGCAAGCAGGGGGAACCGTAACCAGGGGTTGGCTTACAAGACTCTACAGTAAAAGGGCAGGGGAAGAAACAATTGCAGCAGGAGAGAAAGATATAAAAAGCAAAAAGGAATTCCCAGCAGGGAGAGGACCAAGAAAGCACAGAAGGCTGCAGAAGCAATGCTGGAGGCCTGGTTTGGGGCCTGTTAATTCGCATCTCATTCTGCAGGAATTACCAAGCAGACCTCTCGGCTTGTAAAGGTCCCTGCACAAAACAGACTGTGGGGCTAGAAAACGGGAGTGGGTGGGCTCACACCACAGGCTGCAGGCTTTCCCAGTAATACCTTGGCTTAAAGCCTGCAATTGCCCTCAATCACCTCTCTACAGGGAGGCTGCAAACAAGGGAAAGCCACCATGTTTTTGAAACTCTGCAGCTGCTTTCCAGAACAAATGGTTGAACATACACCAAAACTCCCCTGTCCTCCGTGAAAGTTACTTCAACCTTCCTCAAACTAATGACCACCAAATATTTTGGCCTTCAATTCCCATCAGCCCCAGACAGCATAGCCGTTGGTCAGGAATGCTGCAAACTGCAGTTGGGTCTGGGTGGCACTACGTAGAGGAAGGCTGAGCTACGCACACAAGTAAGTGGTAATAAAGGCAAAAACTGAAGCAGATTCTGGTCCCCCCACACTCAACCATCAATGCCCATGTTAGGGCACAGGCAAAAGATGCCGCTTCGCAAGAAGAGCAGAGCAGCCCTCACTGTTCCCTTACTCCTGGCAGCTGAAATTACACCACGTATTTCCTGCCAAGTTAAGTCTGAAATGGGCATTCTCACACTTATAGGAATACCCTTCTCCACCTGGTGCCATTTTCACTCTCGGCTCCTCCGAGGAATTCTTTTTCCCTACAGCTGTACTTCTTCCAAGTTGGGCATATAATCTCTTGCAGGCACCAGAGGCTATCTGAGAGGCTGGGAGCAGAAAACACTGGAAAGATGACAGGATGCCCTGACCTTCAAACAGCCTCTTGGGAGCTGGAGGAGCAGGCCAATCGCCAGAAGAAAAGCAGTAGCAGAATGGTTGCCAAGGCTTTGCTCCCCATTTTGGAGGTCCCTCTTTGAGTGGGCCCACCTCTTTCTCCCCTTGCTGCCCATTCACTTGCTCACTCTCTCCAAGTTCCAATGGCATGCCCGCTCAGAGAAGCATGAGGCAAAGAATGTTGCCCATCTCCTTATTCAGGTCACTGCTTCCATGCTCAGAACGGGAAAGACAAACAGGCAGTAACAGCATGGAGCTGGAACAGCAGGATCCAAAGCTCTGAGGGGCACTGGTGGGCCCTGGCTACTGCCCAATCATGTCTACTTCTGACCCTGTAAGAACAGCACACAACTCCAGGAGTACCTTCCCCTCTTCCTCTCATAGCCCTCCAAGTGAGGAAGATCAGGCTTGTTAGGTACATTAGTGAGTGAGTATGTTGACGTCTGTGGTGCAAATGAGAAATAGGAGTTCCTTATAATGTCAAGGAATGCTGGCTGATTTTGCATAGTGTATTCTATTTCCACTATTTAAGAGAAAGAATTAGGAATTACATAGGGCACTGAAGACCCACCCACCCCAATAAAACCTGCTCTGCTGCCCACCTCCACAGCTGTAAACATCTCACTTAATCTCACTCTAATCAAGCAAGCTTACCTTCACAGGCTTAAGGACTAGAACCATTAAAAATAAAGAACAGAAAAAGCTAAGGTTTTGAATGAATCTGAATTCTGCACCCTTACTAAGTTCTGAAAGCCAGTGCGGTGTAATCATCAGAGGGTTGATCTGAGCCTCAGGAGACCCACAGTCTAGTTGCCATTCTGCCATGAAGCTCACTGGATGACTTTGGGCAAGTCATGTCCTAATCTACCTCACAGGGTTGTCATGAGGATAAAACAGAGGAGGAGGGGGATCATATATGCCATCTTGGGTTCCTTGGAGGAATATAAATGCAACAAGAAAATTCTGCATGTATGTCATGGAACTCAGAGTACACATATCTCTGCAGGGGGATTGGGGGGATCAAGACCGAATCCCCAGTGAGGCAGGAAACCTGTCTCTAGATGCACCATTTCAAACTACATCTGAGAGACCCCTAGCATCCCTGAGAAAGGGTTTACACTGGTGTTCTCTCAGATGTGCTGGTTTTCTATGTGCAGGAAACTTTCCATGGACCATTCATCATTTGGGCTCTCACCTGCAGTCTAAAGTGCTACAGTACGGACAATTCTACCACCTCAGAGAGAATGAGGCCCAAGGCCAGCCTTCCCCAAGCTGGTATGCTCCAGGTGTGTTTGAGTACCACTCCCAGCATGGCTGGATGGGGGATACTGGGAGTTTTAGGCTAACACTTCTGGAAGTCACCAGGGTGGGGCAGGAATAGAAAACAGTGCTCAAAGCTATTCCGGGATAGGGAGGGGGAAAAATTGGGGGAAGCCCCTTGGTCAGTATGCAAGCAAAGCTAGAGAAGAACAGTACTGAGAAGTAATAAAGTCAAGAGGCAGCTTGCTGAGAAACAAACTGCTTGGATTGCTGTCTCCGCTATCTAGTTGGAAATATATCCCACTATGCCACATTCCAGCTGTGACTATGTCAGATGGAAGACGGCAGGGCTACTGATGAATGAATGACACACCAAAAGTGTGCAATCCAAATCACAATTTTCCAGAAAGATAGGATATCATCGCATAATTAAAACATGCATGGTTACCACCCTTCTTAGGAACTAGAGCAGAAGCTGGTATGTTTGGGAGAGCAGTAGTCTTGTGGCATCTGGCCAACAGCAAAGGATCCAGGCTAGCACATGATAAGTTGTAGAAGACAGGCAGAATGACAACAGGGTGCTGCCTCTTCAGATCCCAGTAATTCTGATCCAAACAAAATTGTTTTACTGGTTGGCAATTCAACAAGTGCAGCAGATTACAGAATGATATAAAGCCAGCATCAGGTGTTTCAGTAAACGCAAGGGTGGCATGGCTGAAGTGCAAAACCAAAATGATGTGTGTACCCACAGCCTCCGGTCTTGCAATATCTTCCATCCTTGTGACCCATTGCTGAGTATCCAGGCTGAGGGACTGGGCTATACAGAGAACTCGGTCAGCAAAGTAACCTGTGTCTTCCAAGGCAGAGATGGTCCTCATGACATCATTTGGCAAGGGGATAGACAGGCCCATAAAGAAATAGGATGCTGTATCTAACTGGTAGTCTTCACCAGTTGAATGTGGGGACTCACTGGGTCTTTTCCTCTCAGATCATGAGACCAAGACTGGTAGCAAGCATTGAGGAAGAAGGCTGAAGGAGAAGAGAGCCAATAATTGTTTTGTCTATCAGTGTCCTGCCAGGGTAAAGGTGGTGTTGGTCACTGAAAAGCATCCATGTTAGGATATTCAATAATGGCGTGCAATGTCTTGGAGGACCAGCCACTGATACTCAGCCTTGGCCAAGTGAAGAGTTTGATTTCACATGTCACTCCAGTTATTCCAGTAGAAAGTCCTATGGGAGGCACTGAGTAATCAGTGCTTATCCCAATGCGAGAAAAGGGAATGTGGTCAGTCATAGTATTGATAACATTCACATTCTAGCTGTTCGTATAGATGCCATCCTGGAGAGCTTGTGTGGTGTTGTAACTGTGGGAAAGAACTGGAAGGAGGTCCTTGATCATCTCAAACTCGAGCGGAATAGAGTTTCTGATTCCCCTTTGAAAGCTGAGGTAATTAGAGGTGGCTCTGCTACTGGACAAGAAGGCACAGTCCATATGGGAGAAAGGAGCAGCAGTGGCAATAGCGGTAGATGAATCAGAGAAGACTGACAGGCTCCTGAACTGATATTTAGAATCTTTCTTCCTCCACTTCTCCTTGCTTGAGTCCAAAGAGGTGGATGATCAGACCCTCTTAGCCGATTTTTTTTGCCAGTGGGACTGCAAGGGATCAAACTGGTATCTAACCCATGGCGAGAGCCAGAACGACTAGCAAAGGAGAAGACAATGGCCTAGCCTCCATAACAGTATCCAAAGAAGTTGCTTTTGGACAGCAGAAGAAGACAGTTCCACTGCTTCCAACACGCTCTTCCAGAGGAAAGCCTTTAATCTGTTGGACCTGTTTCTTCTGGCTTGTGTAGTCTAAGTCTGACAATGTGGGCAAGAGTTAACAATATGCCCCTTACCCAGACAAAGTACACAGAGCCAGTGACCACCACTTGGTGGAAGTTTGCTGCCAGAGCTGCCTTTGGTGACCTAATCCTTTCAGGCAAAGGAAGCAATTGAAGATCACCAAAAGCAAGTCACAAAAATAACGAAGAATTATTCAAAGAAAGAAAAATGCTCAGTGATACCTCAGCAAAACGTACTTTCTGCAGAAGAATGAAGCTCCTTGTGAGGCAA